AGGAGGTTCAAGTGACTAATCATTCAATCGATATAAGCCATATATCAAGGAAGCGACACCAATATTAATGGAATCAAAACAAATGTCAATTTTTCTATTTCCTTAGAAGAATGAATAGCCACAAATATCCAATGCAGAAGTTGAAATTAAATTCCTCTTTACAGAAGGTACATAAACAATATTGTTCAAATTTAAAACATGACCAGAATTTAAATACAAAGAAACAGTTCCAATGCATTCAACTGATGCCTTGCTCCCTGCTATGCCAAAGACTGACCTCTGTGCCTCACTTGGAACCTTCTGGTTTCTTAGCCCCTGTAGAGAATTCACAACATGTACAGTGGCACCAGAATCCAACCACTATAAGTCAAAGGAAGTTTCAATGGTGTTAGATTCAAAACAAACTAGAGCTAGAGGGGCAGTTTGAAGAATTGTACCTTCACTTTCTTTTTTGTTCTTCAATTTGAAGCAATTAGCTTTAATGTGACCCGGTTTCTTGCAATAATTGCATAACCCTTTAAAGGGTTTCTTCCTCGACTTCTCACTCTTATCACCATCCTTCTTAAAGGTTGGATTATTAGGCTTTGGGGCATTATGTTTCTTTCCCTTTTTCTTATATGACCCTCTAAATTTACTGCTTGAGCTATGAGAAACATAATTTATTGAGTGAGAGGAATTCTTCTTTATAGCTTCCTCTTCTTGAGTGACTATCGATATCATCTGGTCAACAGACCATTCAGCTTCTTGTGAGTTGTATGAAGTCCTCAAGAATGCATACTCTGATGGCAATGATTGAAGAACACGGTAAACCAAGGTACTTTTACCCAAATCAATCCCATATGACTTAAGCTTGTTATAGTAATGAACAAGCTTTAGAATGTGCTCCTTGACACCAAAAACTTCGTCGTATCAAGTATTGTTAAGAAGTGATAGATAGTAGTTCTTTTGAGTCTTGTCAAGCTTCTTGTCTTTGTTACCAATAGCTTTCAAGTACTCCACTACAGTATCATTTTTAGGAATGCTGTCCCTAATTTTCTTTTTAATTGTGTACTTGATGATCGCTAGACAGATCCGGTTGGACTCACTCCATTATTTATGGAAGGCTATTTCAGAAGCACTAGACTCAGAAGAGAGATCCGCAGGCTTGGGCTCTCTCAGAGCTAAATCTTTCTCAAAAATGGTCAGATGCATATTGAGGGACTCTTTCCAGTTATCATAGTTGGTCCCATTGAGAGCCTTCACAAAGGATAGTTGCGTAAAAGCAGAAACTGAAATCGCAAAACAGAAAATGGGAAATATTAATTATGCGTGCAGAACATAATTATAAAACAGAATTTCCCAACAAGTGATTATTAATTAGGCAACTATAATCATGCACCAAGAAGGCTCATATACCATAAAAAAATTTAGCTCATACAAAAATCCATACAAAATAATGCATTAAACATTTCCATACCTATAGGGTACAACAAATATCTAACACATTAAAGGAGTGCTATTAGCCTATCCTCAAAACCAACCATTAAAATCACATTAATAATGTCACACCTATGGGGTATATCCATTATCAATGCTATAAGATCCTACGCATCATCAATAATTTACAAAGTCACAAATTTTATGACTTTAGGACAAAACAAAATTATTTTAAAAGTCCTTAGGGTCTTTTGGGAATTAAGGAAAAGAATCTAAGACTAAAGTGAAATTTTGAAAGGTAATCAGGGGCAAATAAGTAATTCTGGAAGAGCTTTGGGTCAAAATTGAAATTCTAAAAGTTAAGGGACTAAAATGTAATTTCCAAAAATATAAAGGGACTAATTCATAAATTCAATAAAATTTTGGGTCCAAGAAGGTAATTTAAAACTGGTTTCGAAACGTAATTAACAGAAGTTTTTTTTTGTTTGAACCAAGCCCAGATTTCATCTGGGCCCAACGCAAGGAAACCGTATCCCTAGGATCCGATTTCGTTGCGCCGCTAGCTTCTCCCCAAATTTTTTTTATGGATCTAGGCCCAAACGAAATTTGGGCCTCAGAACCATGAAACCGGATCCTAAGATCCGGTTCATGTTCCTTGCTGCAGCGTCCTTGGCTGCCGCAACCCAGAGGAGAAAGGAGGAGCTCGCCGGTGACGGTGCAGCAACCAGGACGCCGGCGAACCCCAACAGCCAGTCGGCCACCACAACGTAGGCGAGAAGCAGACGCTACTGAACGGCATCTTTCCCTGACCACGAGCTGGATCCAGAAGGAGCTGAGAAATGGGGACGTCGCCGGCAAGGGTCGCTGAACGGAAGACGACCGGTGACTGTGCAGCGTTGTGAAACTGGAGCAGATGCCACTGCCGTCACGACGCCGACGACTGCCTTCGGCGACTCCTTTCACCACACTGAAGAATCCAAAATTTTTTTTTTGAACCATGCTAATGGTTTCATCATAAATATAACAGATTTAAACTAAAAATCACATATCCAAAATCATCATTATCATATTCAATTTATCATCATCTCTTTAAGAATATTGAATTGAGATATATAGATTAATATTCATAACCAGGCTCTGATGCCACGTGTTTGAATCTGAGTATCTCAATTCATATAGACAAGTAAAGTAATGTATGCGTATCTGAAGAATCCATGAGTGCTAGAAAGATCTCGATTACCTCGAGTATAGGCAGGTATACAACTCACAGGTCCCTAGAGCTTTCAGAGAGTTCAGAGATAATGGACGTAGAAGAAAAATGAGTCGTGTGTTTGCAGTTACCGACTAATCGTCTTATATAGATCAGATTGGTAACCGCCTTATTAAATAATTAAATAATTATATTATCTATTATCTCTGACTCAGTCAGTTAAAAGATAAGAAATAACTGACGGCTACTGGGTTGTGGGTTGGGCCTCTGCCCATTGGGCTCACTTGTGTGGTCCACCTATCACGGTCCAAACAATATCATAAGGACCAATTTATTGAGCTTATTAATTAATGCTAATTCATAAATAATATTCCAACAGAAACGGTCCTCACAACCGAGTCGGGGAGACATTTAAATTCTCTAGTCACTGGGTTATACAAAAAAACGTCTATCTCACCCTGCCAAGATCCTGCTGACAAACATAGCATACCATTGCAGTGACCTGAAATGTGAAATGTAGTCGCAGTCGTAGACTTGTTTGTTCTGGGAAATAAGGTATCAATAGCAGAAGAATCTTTGCTAGAGAGGGAAAAGAGCTTGTAGTTCTTGCGGGGGAAAGCGAGACTGAGTATCACACTATTGTAGGTATGGTGTTCGATGAAATGCGAGAGGTGAGACGGTAGGAAAGCGGGACTTGTGAGGACAGATTGCCACAACTTGCAGACGCACTTGAATCGAGACAATAATTTGTAAGGAAGTCTTGAAAGTATGTCCTCCAATAATTCTCGGGGCAGACTTGAACCCTTCGCCATGGTATATCTCTCTATCTCTCTCCTCTCTCCTCTCTCGGGCCTCTGTTCTTCTTCTGTATTTTCTGGACTTGCAGGGCAGGAGAAGAATAGACTTGGTTAAAGTTTGTTTAGTAGGGTCTTGTTTTTTAAAACTTGAAAGATTAGACGCTTTTTTTATATAGTTTAGGGATTTTTTTAAAAAATATTTATGGTTTATAAATTTTATAAAAAGTAATAATTATCTTGCTTACATTAATAAAAATGATTTATTATATAGTTATTCACGATTTTAATGTGGATATATTGATTGTAAATCCTAATTATTATTGCATCTATAATATGTTGAAAGATTCTTATCTCAACAAATTATGATAAATTAGTTATCATCATATCCTCTCATAGGATACACTGTAGATCCTTGTATAATTATTTAATATGATGTTTGAATTGACATAATTGAATTTGAATTTTAAATTTCATATTTAAAATCTTATAGTTAAAATCCATGCATTTAATTGGTATAATTTTTTTTTAAATAAGAGAAATGGGTTGAAATTTGACATTAAAACAGAGCATTAAGAGTAACAAATTTACATTTTTTTTTTCAATTGGTTAGAAACTAAAACGAGCAATATGAGAAAAGAGGCTGGAGTGACAAAAACAACGACAATGAAAACACAAAGATAATGAAAGGATTGGAGTAGTTGAAACTTTAAATACAAAAGAATTTGAATTAAAAAAATTATTAATACGAATTTCATGCAACTAATTAAATAAGAGATTTTGTCCATCCAAATCCAACCGTAACATAAAAGTTTTTTAAAGTTGTATTTGCATTTTTAATATCCTCATTGGTTTTCTCTTCACTTTTCATTATTGTTGTTGTTGTAGTAGGTAAATCTGAATATCAATAATTAACTTCTAAAAATGCATTAAATTGATCAAACAAACGATGACTCCCATCTTATGTGTATATTTAATGAAGGACAAAACTGCACCTGGATTTCATTTCCTCTGGCCTGAAGACCTTTATAGTTTTCTCTATTTCGAGCCTGTATTTTGTCTGTTTTTTAGGCTCGGTTTTTATTCTCTTTTGTTATCAAAAAAGAATGAAGGACAAAACTTATTTATATATATATATATATATATATGTATGTATGTATAAGGGCTGTGCATTTTTGTTCCTTGAAAGAGTTACCTGCATTCAATAAAAAAATCTGATCTCAAACAAAATTATCTTCAATATTATAAGAAAATATGTGTACAATGTGTCCGCAATGAAAAATATTGGATATCTTAAATTATTTCAAATCATTGTAATATGCTGTCTTTTATATTGACGTTGAATATTACCTTCATATTGACTTTGAATTTAAGAATATTTTTTAAAAAAATTGCATCCACGTACTCTCATATAAAAGAATTTATTATTAAAAAAATTTATAAAATACTTTTAAATTCTGTATATTTATAATTTGATTAAAAATATTGGCAACTGGATCAACTTAGTGATTTCATCCAAGACAGCGTACGACGCAGAGCAGACGACTCAAACGGGAAAAGTAAAAGAGAAAAAAGTTACATCAGGTCAAAGGAAGGAAACTACCCCCTTTGATTGAAACGAGAGTGGCCACATAATTTACAGCTTGAGTGTTGCCAGGAACTATGGGACCCTCTACCTTGATACTCGTAATCTCTCCAGTGTCAACGTTATAAGTCTTAATCTCTCCGAAAAAAGTTTCCAAAAGAAGCTCATTACCCTTCCAGAAAACCAAGGGTTGAACGCCGACTAGAAAGGGAAAATTTGTAGTTATTTTGTGCATCTTGGTCCATGAAACCTGATCACCACCAAATCCATCCATCACCCACATGTCAATCATCGGCAAGCTCGGACTACGTTCAGGACCATAACTGTAAATCAAACATATCGATTCATTCTTCCACAATGCTAGCAGTTTATTACGATCACCAGATTTGCTGCATGCAACTTCTCGTGGCACTGACACTGTGCGGAAAACCTCGTCTCCCATGTTCAATCCTAAGATCATTGTCGTCGACGAATACTCCCAACGCCTCGAAGCCCACCAATAATAAGTCCCTCTAAAGAACAAAGCGAAACGACCGAAACGAAAATCACTAGCATTGCTCTTGCACAGTGGTGTCCATGAATCAGTGCTTAGAGAATACTCCTCCACACCATATGCAATACCCATCGAGTTTATCCTTACAACCTTGTAATCATCGATCCGAGAATCATAACCCATTCCCACAGATATAGTAAATGAAGAATGGTCCTGGATGACCGAGTTGGGAAGACATTTGAATTGTCTGGTTGCTGGGTTATACAAAACAATCTTTGTCTTTGTCCTGTAACCTACTGACAAACACAGTATCCCATTACAGTGACCTGAGATTTGGAATCTTCGGGAGCCAAACATGTCGAAACTGGGGGATGAGCTGTCGACAGCAGAGGAATCCTTGCTAGAGAGGAAGCAGAGTTTGAGGTTGTCCATGACGGAAAGCTCGGGACCAATGAATCTAGCAGTCTGGGGAAAGTGAACCTGAGGACGACGCTGTTGTTGTAGGAATGATGCTTGATGAAATCTGAGAGGTGAGGGGGTATGAAAGGAGGACGAGTGAAGAGAGAGTACCAGAACTTGGAAACGCACTTGAATCGCGACAATGATCTGTAAGGGAGCTTTAAAAGTACTTGCTCCCACATTTCCTGGGGCAAATAATATGAATCATTTTTCTCTAGGCTGCGTTCCTTCTTTTCCTTCTCCATCTTTCTGGGTAGCAAAGGGATTCCATAAACCAAAGGCCCGAACCCCTCAGTCTCAGCAAATTTTTCTGCTTCGGTTTTACGGGGAAGGGGGGCATGCACGAAAGGAATGATGGGCTTTTTATTTAAAATAAAAATAAGGAAAGATTATATTTGAAGATTCTTTTATATATATATATATATATATATTATTGACCAATTATCTTAAACTAGATAGATAGATTTGTTTCTGATCTTAATTCAACTAGATAGATAGATTTGTTTCTGATCTTAATTCAAGCGAGAGATTTTATTTTATATATATATATATATATATATAATTTTTTTATTGCTAGCTGCTGGTGAATATTTAACTTTTATACGTAACAAACTAACAATATCATTTATATATATCACCCAATTGTAATAGCGTTAATTAAAAGTGATACATTTATGATATTTTATATGTGACAAAGTAGGTTTATTTACCAATGGCTTGTTGCTCTAGTGGCAATGCCCTAGTCTGAATCATGCTTTGACATGTGTGGGTGCTTGAATTATGTTTATCTTATCACTTTCAAGAACCAAAAAAAAAAAAACTAAATTTTCATAAGATATTTACATGCTACATATCTTTCTATGGACAATTATAACTCTCGACCACAGTTTAAAAATAGTATGATACGATTATAAAAAATAAATATTTTTATCAAAAACAAGAAAATGAAATATTTAGTTATAATATTTAATATTTTATATCCTAGGTTGAAATTTTCAAAAAATAAAGAAAATTTACCCATTTAAAAATTATAGTATCAATTTTTTTATTAAAATATTTAATTGAGTTTGGGAAAGAATCATATATTTAGTTTTATATATTTAATATACTTTTATTCATTTAAATTAAAATAATATGATTTTAAAGTCTTCATAATATTAATAAAAAATATTATATAAAAAATCTACATGTTTAAAATTAACTGAAAGCAATAATTTAACTACCTTATTTTTTTCATCGAGTTTCTCCCATTAAACTACTATTGTTAAAATTTTAATTTTAAGTTGATATATAATTTAAAACTTAAACTATAAATTCATAAATAATATGGACCTTTTAAAGTAAAAGTATATTTTAAATTTTAAATAATTAAAATCAATGTATCTTTGCAGCTATCATTAATATAGCGGGCCCACATTCTAACCTTTTCCATCCGCATCTTTAGTGTCCCCTCCCTCTCTCTTTCTTTGAACCCAATTTGGGTGCTTATGGTAAAATCTGAACCGTTCAGATAATAAAAATATATAATAATTTTTTAAATCTAGATCTAGGTTTCACATTTAAAAGTTATTATATATTTTTATATTTATTAAAATAAAAATTTATAAAAATTATAAAATAATTTTAATAAATTTTTTATTTTAATATAATCTAGATTTAATTTAAAAGGTGAAATTTAATATTAAAATTTTTATAATTATTATATATCAACTATCTAAATATACTTCGCACAGTCTAAATTTAATCTCATATTAATCTGGCTTATACATAATACATTTAAATAGTCAATATATGTCAATTATAAAAATTTTAATATTAAATTAAAACTTATAAATTAAATCTAAATCATATTAAAAATAAAAAAATTATTAAAATTATTTTATAATTTTTGTATATTTTTATTTTAATAAATATAATATATAATAATGTTTTAAATTTAAATGGTTCAAATTTTATTACTGTGATGGGCACCCAAATTCATTCCCTCTGTCTTCGTCTCTCCCTCTCTTTCCTCTCTTGCTCTGGGAAGACCATGCAGAAGAAGACGTTGAAGAAATGCTATCATCTATTTCATCATGAGACTATCATCCTCCAGTCATCTCATGATGACAGTTGTGAGACTATCATTTCTATTATCAACCTCTTGAAATCACTGTACGAATCCTCCGACTTCTTCACCATCGCCACGCTCTGTCTCACCTTCCCTCCCACCCTCTACCCCATCGAACCCTCCAACGCCGACACCCTCGCTGCTACCCACCAAAACGCCTCCTCCTCCTTCTGCTTCTACCCCATCATGAGGTGCCGTCGCTTCTTGAAGACGAAACTAGAGCTTCGGTTCGTTATTGTAGCCATCGCTGTTGAACAAATAATGTACGATCAGCCGACGAAGTGCTGATACAACTCAGACCACTACTACCACTTGTCTTCCTTTTTCCAGAGGAAGTGATCATCTACGTCAGAGAGAGAGGTGAAGGAGTTTGGAGCGGTATGGCCGGAAACAAGGGGTGATCAGTCGAGATATTATTCCAAATTTGAAGCATTTCACCATGTTAAAGCATTTCTCCGTACAGTTGAAGTAATAACTTAAAAAGTTGACACTATTTTGCAGATGGGAAGGCTAGTTGATCTCTCTTTATATTTATAGGCAATTCACACTACTACTCAACGTTCATCAAGTTGAGTACAGATGCCAATTGCCCTCGAGGAAGAGAGTTTACAAGGGGATTGGAGGGAGCAATTGGAGGTCACAAGAGTAGTACTCTATTGTTTGGCATGGTGGAGCAGCTGGGAGATATGGACGCGATCCTTTCATTCAGAGGAGGCATGCACAAGTTGTTATATTGTGGTGGTGGTGGTGGATATATGCTGGATAGGGATCTCAGAAATAAAATACTCACGCAGAGTGAAATGTTAAACTTTAGTATCTTAATTCATACAAGTCAAATAAGATTGAGTAAACTGATGTTGATGTGCGTACTTAAAAAATCTATGATTATAAGTGATATCTTGATTATTTTGAATATAGACAAATGCGTAATCTACAGAATCTCCATAGTTTTGTAGAGAGTTCAGAGATAATGAAAAAAATGGAAAACTGTTGTGTGTCTAGGTTATCAATTTACCGGTCGGTTTATATGGACTAGATTAGTAACCGCTATAATAAATAAATAAATTATATTTCATTATCTTTGACTCAATAAATTAAAAGATAGTAAATGATTGATGGTTAAAGGATTATAGGTTGGACTTCTATCCATTAGGTTTACTTGTGTGGTTCACCTATCATAGCCTATACAAAATCATAAAGGCCAATATGTTTAAATTTATTAATTAATGTAAATTTATAAATAAATATTTCAACATGTAATTCATTGAAAATGGGGGGCGTCAATTCCTGTTTTGAGAAGGATTGTGTGGATTCATTTATGGTGACCAGGCCATTTCATCATCACAAATATCTTACTTCTCACTGCTTCTTTCAACGTTTTCTTCTGCCTCAGTGAGCAAGGGACGAGAGAGAGAAGGACAGAGGGACGGAGGAGAGAACCAGAGACGCAGGTAAAGGTTAAAATATAGGCCCCACTGTATTTAAAAAGTAACAATAGTTAGTTTAAGATTGACGGTGGGGTGAGAATCTATCCTCTTTAATTATGGAGGATTCAAAGTATACCAATCACAAGAAAATTATTCTTGAACTTATTCAGAGTTCCAATTGCACATTAAATTTTTAATTTTTGATGTCCCTTTTTAAAATATTTTTATTTTTTTCAACTAATTTAATAGTATTAAAAATTATAAATTCTTGGCCCCTAAAAAAAGTTAAAATTATAATAAAATTTAAAATAAAACTAAAGCACTAAAAAAAACTACTCCTGAAATTATATAAAAAAGTAAAAAAATCTTTTTGACAGATCAAATTCATCTTACCCATATTTTTTTACAAAATTAGATTTTTCCATTATTTATATAGATCACATATTTTTTGTACATAATTGGGCGAGACGTAAAATATTTGAACAATGTTATCTGTTTAGTTTTTTAAGCAAAGAAGTTACCCTTTTTTTTTTTTGAGTCAAACTCGTTTCCAGGCGAAAAAAAAGAAAATGTCAAATGGATGACCGTCTTCCTTGCGGAGCCACGTGTAACTCCGTAACGCCTCTGTTAAATTGCCATCTATTGTTCAATCTCAACCGTTGATCTTCTTCCTCATCCCTTCTTTCAACGGTCCAGATGGTAGACGCTTTTCCAATTTCAGGCGCCAGGTGCGATCGTTAACGCGCTCCACAACAGCCTAACCTTAAGCGAACAAAAATTCTTGCCGCCCAATCAGAGTCCTCCATGTGAACTTCAAACCTTTACCGTCTCCGAAGGCGTGAAATCGAAACGTCGGTGCTTCTTCTCCCTCCACAGCTCATGATATCCTGATTTCAAAATTCCACCCTCCTATCTTTCTTGCGGTTTCGAATTTTTTCTTCACATTCTGGTTATCTCGTTCGTCATTTCATATTCCTTGTCGATTCTTATTTCTTTCCCTACAAGTGCTGCTTGGAGGGGTTTAAAGTCTAAATAACCGAAGGTTTGGAGTATATGATAGGATGCAACGATTGGTTGACAATATCCTTGCTGTCACTAAAGAGTAAGGCCATATTGTTTTCAATACAATTGTAAATATTTATAATGGTAATTGAATATCTATGCGGTTGATTGATTTGATTGCAATAGGTATTGTTGACGAGACAATTCAATGCTAATTTGTTTTTTTTTGTAATATAGGGTTCTTCGCTGCGTGATTTTTCCTTTTGATGGTTTCTGTGTGGCTGCACGTGATCAATATATATTGCTGTAATTTTCTATTTGATTTGAATTTATGTGATTACGTAAGTTCTGGGTAATCGGTTGCTTAGTATCCTTTTTGACTATTCAATGGGGATCGGTTGTTTGTTGAACGGGGCTGTGCCGCTTTCTTTAACCGATTGTAGTTTTTTTTTTTTTTTTTTTGGTGGGGGGACAATACCAATATCATTTTAACTCAATGCCAATTGTTAAAAACATGAAACGATGCAATTAGTAAGCCTGGCCATGAGTAAGCGTATTTTTGTTGTTTTAGAGTTATCTTGATTTGCTGCAGTAGAGATATCGATGAAGTATTTTCATTCAGATATTGAATTAGAATTGAGAGATAGGTACTGACTTGCTATAGTTTAGTAGTAAGAACGTTGAAAGATCGCCGGATGAGTAAAGATGGCAATGGTTGCCCTTCTAGCGACACATCGGTCAACGGGTGTTGCCTCTGTAGTTTTAAATGCAAATAATTCTTAGGGGCTTGCAAAGATGAATCAAGATTTGGTTTTCCAACTAGAGTTTTTTTTGACTTTGGACTATTGAGTTTCACTTGGGGAAAGAAATCTGAACCACATCTTTACGATCAAGCGTTCCTGCAATGTCAATCCTGATTGTGAAATGACAAAAGCATGGATGTGTATCAGCTGAGTCATTTTTGCTATGGATAATAGCAATGAAATATTAAATTATGATGATTACAAGTGAAATTATCCCATGATAGCTAAAGAGAGATCCGTCTTGGCTTTTTTTTTTTTTTTGGCCGACAGATCCATCTTGGCTGAGTCATCAATTATAGATAGTTTATTTCCTCATTAGATGTGTGCAGCTAGGCATCTTCCTTTATTTAATTAATTTTGAACACTGTAAAAACAGATTTTGTTAGTTGGTGATTGTTGTTGCAAGGATTGGTTTTATATCTGAGGTAGTGATCAATCTAAAAATTTGCTTAGGCTGGAAGAAATTTGGAGTTCCATGTAATTGAGTTCGTTGGAAGTTGCACCATTCTTGCATTAATGTTTTAAAGCCACATGTTCTTTGAGTGTTTTTGTAAACTGTGTATATGCCCATGAACATCTGAACTTGTTTTCATTTTTAATGCAGGTCAGTGAAAACATTTACCTATGAGTCCTTGAACAATATTGTGAGACTGATCAATGGAGTATCAGCACTTTTATTGGCATTTTTACCTGGAAAGGCTACTATCCTTGAAGGTATTCATGGTTGGGAGCTCAGGCCAACTTTCCGAGGACCCCGATTTCCACGTTGGATGGAAAAGTGAGTTATGTTTATATTACTGTGTGAGATTTTTCTATATGAAAGATTTGCATAGTGTCATCATGCTAAGCCTAATAGAGTTGTTACTGTTAGCTTAAGCCTCAAGACAATGGGTAATAAGCTATGGTTGGGGGGAGTATTGTTAAAAGTCTCTAGTTTAGTCGTGAGGAATTTTCTTATCTTTTCTTAATGATAATTCCAATGATACATTTTCCTAGCACAGTTGATGTTCGAAGTTTCATGGGCCACATGCAGGTTGTAGGTTTAAAGGTCCAACTCTGCATGCACCTTACCATGTGAAGCTTCAGAAATAGAGAGAATGGAATTTTTTGTTGGGTTAGATTTACTGATACGAGATATGTTATTTATAAGCAATGAAAAGTACAAAAAGAGGTAGGATGAACCTAGGCATAAAATGAATCTAGACACCATACAATGCCATACACAATGCAAAATGCACCTGGGCTTCTGTACTCTTGCGCCTCTCTATGGGCTTCTTTACTTTGGCAAGGTGTATACTTCTGCTTATGGCACAAAGTTAAAGAAGAAAAAGGAAAGAAGAGAAGAGAAAAGGAAGGACAGTTAGCCCTTTTAGTTTTTGAAATAATTATAGTAGATCTATTGATGATGTTTTAAAAACATCATAGAATGAGAAAGAAATATACAATGACTAGGGAATTGGTAAACCATATGGAAAGGAGATCAGATGATTTGCATAGAATGAAGTCAAAGAAAACTAGAACATTAATCAAAGCTGAAGAATTTGTAAATTAGGAAATGAATTAATGTTAGTTGCTTTGAGTTATCTGTTTCTCACACTAATGAAGTGATTTTCAACATTCCATAAATGTGAAAATCCTCCTGGCCTTCTTTCTAGGGAAAAATTTGAAATACTCTTAAAAATTTAATTTTATATGTGATGCATATGACATATTTCTTGTAGACCTCAATGCGTAATTGCATCCAGTGACTAGTGCCTTTAACAACTATAGTTGGACCGACATGGGGCACAGTTGAAATTTGTCTTGCTTGACTAACTTGAACTTTGTATGTGTTCTTTTCATTGCACTTTCAATATAGATCTCAAACCTCCCATTTAATTTAGGAGCTTACAAGAATTATAGTCCCCTTTCATAATCTGAAGTTATACTATGATTGATGATATGAGAATTTTAACAAGAGCCTGTATTTTTCTATTCTGTTCCGTCCTTTTATTTTAGTAACTATTATCAATTATAATTATTTTCTTGCCTAATTTTTCTCATAAGTACTACATTTTCGCAATTGTTCTTATTCTTTTTTAGTTATTTGAGAATGGCAGATTAAGCAATTTGTTAATATTTTTAATGCATGCCTACTGTTACAACTTAATGTGATCCCTGTAATCTTGTAATCTATTATTGATATCATTTTCCTCTTCTTGTTTTCTATTTTTCTAGTGGTGTGTCCTCTTTTAACCAGTTCATTCATGAACTTTCTATGGATTCCGATACTTCAAACTTGGAACACTCATCTGGAGAAGGTGATGGTGCTCAATATGAACATACTGCAACTCCATTATCCCAAAGCTCGAGAGCCACTGGTGCCAATTTTACCAAGCACAATAAGCAGCGTATGACTTGGATACAGTATATCCTATTTTGGGTTTTCTTCCCTCTCAAGGTTTTGTGGAGGATTCTTCTCTTTTGGATCCGCTGTGTCATATTTTGGGTTTGCTTTCCTGTCAAGATTTTGCTGCAGATTCCATTTCATCTTTTCTGGTTCTTTCTTTCTACGGTGTCAAAAGCCCTGTCTATATCTGGAAGCCGGCGCCCTTCACGTTCATATTCAAATAAGAGCATGCAAAGCCTCAAGGACTACATTATTCATCGCACTACTGATCGGAGACGTGGAGTCATCGAGGTTGTCTTGCCATATATTAACTTCAATTATGTTTTGTTGATTTTTTTTTTTTGAACTTTGATTTCAAAAGCATGTAATTGTGTTGCTTATATAATATTTTGGTCATCCAGGATCTTCATTTAGCCATAGAAATATTTATAGAAGGTGTATTCGATGTTGTTCACAAAGCAGTGCATCTTCTTCTTTCCCCATCAGAAACTTTTAGGACATTATTCAGGTTGTTTTCATCTCATGAAAGTGATGCGAACGATGATCAAGATAGCCTTGTGGATGCCTCTGTTTCTACATCTACACAAGTGGAGAACGACCCAGAACCCACAGTGAGGAATACTAGCTTCCATCATTCTCTGAATACAGATGCTCGGACATGTCAGGATGTCATAACGGAGCTTGGGTAAAGCCACTACTACACAACTTCATTCACTTTTATTTATTTTATTTTGAAAAAGTTATCATGTTTGCTTCATCTGTTCTTTTTTTTTTTACTCATGACAGGTACCCATATGAAGCCATTCATGTAATCACTTCCGATGGATATGTTCTCCTTTTGGAAAGGATACCCAGGTAAAATAAAAAATAACATCCACAAATTTTAGGTTGTTAATCATGGTAAATTAAGGATAAAAAATTGTATGTGTAAAATATAAATATGAGGTAAAAAAATTTTGATTTTAAATTATTATATGAGTGAAACGTTGATATTTAAAATATTATGTAAGTTAATATTTATTTCATTTTACTTATAGAAGTTGTTGAGCGAGACTTTTTAGTTAACAATATTCCTAAAAACTTGGTTGATGATAAAGCACAATAGCATTGTGCGATCTATGTAGCTAACCTTACCTGGTTGGATAAGGTTAGTTGTTGTTGTTGTTGTAATATTTATTTCATTTTACATTTATGAATATTTTTGTACTTATACATATTTTTTATTGTTGGACCTCACTTCATTTGGGCAAGGATCTTTTTAGCATCTCTTGTCCCTTGGGTGTTCGAAAGTTTGGCACTTTGAGTGTGCCTATTGTCTTTGACTAACTTGAAATTAATTACCAGTCCTCTTCATTATAGAACTCACTTAACTTACAAAGTTAAATTTAATGAATGACATTTGATTACCTATGGTTAACCACAATGGAATAGGGGATATCTTGCGTGCCACTGGTTGACTCCGTTTAAATTCTGCACTATTTTTCATGTTATGAATAAAGATCAATGTTGAGTTTAGATTGAGGAGGCTTTGCCATAACTTATTGCAGTGTTTAATATCTAATGATTCCAATCTGGTGTTACAGACGAGATGCAAGGAAAGCTGTTTATCTTCAGCATGGGATTTTGGATTCATCAATGGGGTGAGTCATCCTGTTGTGTCTTTCTTCCTTAATTTTGATTTGACTACATGATTAAGCTCAGAGGCATGAGTTGTGAAAAGAGTTATATGACAAAAGGGTAAACATAACTTTTGGTCCCTGTGCTTTATTCGTTTTTTGCTTTTAGTCCCTATACTTCTTTTTCTGTGTTTTAGGTTCCTATACTTTTGTTTTTCATTATTTTTAATCCCTCTGGGAGCAAAGTATAGAGACCTTGAAAAGATCCAAAACAATGAAAAATAACAATATAGGGGCCTAAAACACTGAAAAAAATATAAGGACCAAAAGTAAAATGTGAGTAAAGTACGGGGACCAAAAGTTATGTTTACCCTATGGCAAAATTTAAATTCTTTCTTTTGGAGGACTGGTATATTTTGCTTGAATGTAGTCATTTCCTAGTAGGATAAGGTTTTTTGTTGTTGTTGTAGCTGTTTACATTAGAATGGTAAAGGTGATAGTGGTGCTACTATATGCTCATGCCATGTGGTTACTGATGCCTAGACATATGCGGACTGTCACATTCAACATGTTCCATTAAGTAGTATGAGGAAGTTACTTGTAGCATTATAAGCTTTGTCTTAGTCAATTGCTGCATGAACTTTAGTAATAATGCTGGAATGCTTGATATTCATTACCACATTGTTGATGCATCATGCATGAATAGAATTGGCATCAAACAGAATAACATGCATTCTAATTCGAGATTGTGAGATCACTAATTGATACTATGGGGGTTCTTTCTTCCATTTGATTTATGCAGTTGTTAAGTTGAAGCTCACATAATATTGTGGAAAGTGGAAACTGAATGATAAGGATAGTTTCTCTACTTCGAATCACTTGGATTTAAGTTCAAGTAGGGGGTGGCTATTTGAGACTGATCGAGGGGGATCATGCCATGTTAGAAGTGTCTTTCTGTTGTATTGCTGTTTTAGAATGCATTGGCCAGTTAAAGAGTTGCAAGGTCTTGTTTTTTAATTGCCAAGAAGTTTGTGATTTATGGAGTCACTGGCAGATCTAGAGATGGATGAGTGGGGGGCTAGTGCTTAAATGTGAAGGAAGATGAGAATCATGGGGGGAAAGCACCCCCACTCCAGATCCCCCTGGATCCACCAGTGTCTGAAGTAGGTGAGAATCCGGTGTGTCCCATTTGGAGTAAATTTTGTTGGTGTATTTTATAGGCTATGGTCAGAGTGAAGACTGAAGAGGCAAGGTCCTTTGGTGGTATGACATTTATGTGGTGGTTTGATGTGTTTGTGATGTAACACACTTGCATAGAGCTGAATAGAGGGAGAGAGTAGGGAAACCAGAAACAGAGAGGGAGAAATGAAGAAGATGAAGAACAGAATAGGGAGAGCAAGAGAGGGAGAGGCAGAAGTGCAGAGAGAGAGAGAGAAGCTATAAGAATACTCAATCACAATATTTCATTCATCAAATCTGCTATTACAAGTGCAAGCTAGCCCATTTAAACTAAGCATTCCTACCTTTTAAGGAAACTTTAACAAGGTATCAATATAAAGTTAATGAAACAGATTTCCTCTTACAAAAGTAATTGGCTATTAGCCTAGGTAGGTTTCTTACAAGCTAAAGCAAAATACAAGGATAATAAGCTGCTAGCCTAGGTTTCTTCCTATAAGAGGTTTCTTCAAAATATACTAATTCTTATATTTCATCAATTTGATTGCAGCATAATCATCATGTCTTTGAAGGGAAATTATTTTACTTACTATAGACCAGAGTTGTTTACTCAAGTGTTTTTGATGTCAGGCTCTTTCTATTAGTGCGTTTTGTTAGACATGCTGAGGGATTGATAAGCTCAATTGTATTGACGTGCTTTCGCTGTTTTACTTTTCTGGCCCTCCCCACCCCCCCACTTTTTTTTTTTTTTAGGGGGGGTAGAGGGGGTGATGTCTTTCAGCAATGTGCTGTTTACTTATCTTACCGTGGTGAATTTCTTCTTTCATTGAGAATTGAAAATCAACTTTGTTGGTGAACTCCTGGCAGTCCTCAGTTTTAAATTCATTTTTTTAAATTTACTTTATCCCCAATGATAGAGCACAATGGGGTTGTATAATCGATATAGCCAACCCCACCTAGTAAGATAAAGCTTGTTGTTATATCCCCAGTGGGTGTGATAATTGTGGCATTCTGATCAGTTAAATTTTTTTGGTCCAGTTGGATATCTAATGGGGTCGTTGGCTCTCCAGCTTTTGCAGCATATGATCAAGGTCTGTTATATTTTTTAGCATAATGTCTTTCCTCAGGGATTAAGAATACTTATTGATATTTGTTTTATTCTCAGGGTATGATGTATTTCTGGGGAACTTTCGCGGTTTGGTGTCTCGGGAACATGTTAACAAGAACATCTCCTCATATCAGTAAGTTGAAGTTCAAAAAAATTTCTTTTAATTATTTGTTCTTTTGGTGTCTAATGTAATCATATGGTTTTATATCTCCTGTATAATTTTAAATCTATTTTTGGTCTGTGCTGTGACATGATAATATTCTAACTTAATTGATGGAATGCAGATACTGGCGATACTCCATCAATGAACATGGGACTAAGGATATTCCTGCGATGGTAGAGAAAATTCATCAAGTAAAAACTGCTGAATTGAGTCTAAGTCAACCTGATATTGAGGAAGAATCTAATGGTAATCAGCCTTACAAGCTTTGTGCAATCTGCCATAGTTTAGGAGGAGCTGCTACTATAATGTATATTATTACACGTAGGATTGAAGAGAAGCCTCATAGACTTTCAAGACTGGTTTTGTTGTCACCTGCCGGATTTCATGATGATTCCAACCTAGTTTTCTCTGTGTTGGAGCATCTATTTTTTCTGGCGGCTCCAATTTTGTCTCATGTTCTGCCTGCTTTCTATATACCAACCAGATTTTTCCGCATGCTTTTAAACAAGTTAGCTCGAGATCTGCATAACCTACCTGCAGTTGGAGGATTGGTTCAAACTTTGATGAGTTATTTTGTTGGAGGAGACAGCTCAAACTGGGTTGGGGTTTTAGGATTACCTCACTACAATATGAATGATATGCCAGGAGTATCTTTCCGTGTTGCTCTCCATCTTGCACAGATGAAGCACACTGGAAGATTTAGAATGTTTGATCATGGGAGCGCGTCTGCTAATATGGAGGCATATGGTTCGCCGGAACCTTTGGATTTGGGTGAATGCTATAAGCTTGTTGATATTCCTGTTGATCTGGTTGCTGGACAGAAAGACAGAGTGATAAGACCTTCAATGGTTAAAAGGCACCATCTATTAATGAATGATGCTGGTGTGGATGTTTCATATAATGAGTTTGAATATGCCCATTTGGACTTTACCTTCTCTCACCATGAAGAACTCTTGTCATATGTTATGTCACGCTTGCTGCGTGTGAAGTCTAATCCAAAGAAAGAGAAGAAGACGGAGTAGTAGTTACTGAGTGAAATAAGCGAAAACCTGTATATTTTCATATCCCACTGAAGCAGTTGAAAGTCATTGTCTTGCAGAATTACATGGAGTTATGGACTTGCTGAAATCACAGAGGAGCCTTGTATTGTACATGTGTTCATCTTTTCCTTAATATTTTTTCCCTCGTCCCTTTGTAGGAAAAGTAGACCTTGAAGAAAATATGACTTCATTTTACATTGTAAATATTAAAAAAGAAACAGGCGCGAGGAGCTAGATTGTAGTTGTATTTGCATGTTAGTTCACTCTTGTGCCATGGCAATGATGCTTTTTTTTTTTTTTATGGGGATGGTTTGAGTTTTTTCTTAACCAATAATTTTAACCTGGTTTTTACAATTAGTTGCCAGTTGATTATATGGATCTTAATTATAATTGTTCTGGTAGGCTTCAACCTCAAAAGAAAGAGAGAGAAACATAGCCGAGGGTTAAAGTATACCCATGTATTATTCAAAAAAAAGAAAAATAAAAAGAAAACTGCGTACCTAAGGAAAAAATTTATAAGAAAAAATTGTGAAGCTTGGTCATATTTCTCTTAACAAAGATTTTATCACCTAGGGTTTTTAGCCTAATCATGAGAGAATAGGGAGAGAAGCAATAATCAACCTATTTTTTAAGGTACTGGGATCAAACATCTTTCAGCTCTCTCCGATCTTTTTAATCTCTCTATATTCTTTAATTAAAAGCCGATCACAAAAAAATTTCAGAAGGAATAAGATATATCAAAATAGATCTAACTAAATAAATAAAATGATAAGAAAAAAGTTAGCCCCTTTGGATGTTTATATAAAAGGAATAGGTTTCATCCAGAACATTTCAGCATTTGGTGGCTAGTCTTAAACGCGCAACATACAAAACTCCTTTATGATATTTTTTATCGAATTTTTTTTATAAACTTTTTATTGATTTTCGTTAAAAGCTAAAAAGTATGTTTGCTTTTTCGTTCATTAAAAAAAAAAATCCAACTAGGATTTATTATTGTAAAGATGTATCTCACTAACGCCTATAGTATCATTTTATAACAGCTTCCTCAAGTTGTTAAATGGATAATCCTAATCATGTATATCCATATCTGTTCAAACGGAAGAAGAGGCTAAGAAGTCAGCACATTTATTTCCTTTTTGATGTTTGTGATCAACATCAATTTGTCACTCCCTCTGCGTAAGAGAATAGATTTGCCCATTTAAACGGTTATTAGCATTCACAGATGTGGTATCTTATGATAACAAAGTTATAACTAGCATTCAGTCAACATCCATCTTAATATTTCTGAAACCATCATACCAAGCCATATTCAAGCCATCAAACATAGCTCAGAATTCTTCCTGAAAGGGGGCACACACTCCAATATTGCGACAGCAACCATGAAGCCATGATCCATCAGGATTATGTAATAAGCATCTTCCACCCGCTCAGCCATTGATGTCTTTTACAGCACTATCACATTTAAGCGTCACCCAGTTTGGAGGTGGTTTTTTTCTAGATAATGTTACAAGCGTCAAAGTATGCGTGCTTTTGGTTGCCTATAATATATGTTCACATTTAAATATATTTTTACCTTCATGATTGATTAGTTTTAAGACTTGGTTACTTGTTGTCAGGATAACCTGCCCATAGAATTTATCACGAGTATTTTGTAGCATACATAACCAAGGCCTACTAAAAAAAGACATTTGTTATCATTATAATTTTCTTAATTTCTTTCAAAATTTAAAATTTATTTTTAACTTAGTATTATGTAAAAATAATTGACAATTGTTGATTATATGTAATTTTCAAAAAAATTATTTTTAATTCGAATATTAGTTTTATATAGAATATATTTTAAATGATAATAATTATATTTTGTGAAAGAAAATAGTTTTATATATTTTTTAAAAAATATTTATAAAATTTTTTTGGGTCAATTGAGCCAAACTCGGCTTGAACATTTAGATATTGGGTTAGCCTGAACTATAGGAGCACATTCAGTGCTCATTAGGGGTGATGAGCACCATATGCTCATCAAGCGTGCTTATCACCCCTGAAACAATATGGACAGTCCAAATTTAATTTGGATGGTCTAGATTTAACAACCTTTTTAATTTTTTTATTTTGTGAAATAAAAATTTATAAAATTTTAAATAAATATATTTTATTATTAATATGGACCATTCATATTTAATTAGATCAGTTTAAATTTAATATTAATTTTTTATAATTTTTATAAATTGACGATACATATTTACTCTGAACTGTTTTGAATCTGATAGTATAACAAGTTAAAAATTTTAAATTTGAACAGTGCAGACTAAATCTGTATGGTTAATTTATAAAAAAATATAAAAAATTAATATTAAATTTGAACTCATCTGATTAAATATGAATGATATATGTTAATAATAAATATATTTATTTAAAATTTTATAAATTTTCATTTTAAAAAAATTAAAAAAGGTAGTTAAATCTAGACCAAAAATATTAAAAAAGGTAGTTAAATCTGGACCGTCCAGATTAAATTTGGATGGTCCAGATTGGTTCAGGGGTAATGAGCACCAAATGTGCTCCGCTTGAACTAGGTACCAGGTAAGGTAGGAGTGATGCCTGATTCGACCCTATCCGTATACAACTCTAAATACTAGCTTTCTTCAGTAAGGTAGAGGGGCTACTTTTAACTTTAAACACTAACAAGCTCTTTAATTACATACAATTTATGATTTTAATGGCCAAACAAATGTTCTCATTTTTTTATATAGATTTGTGTAACTAATAAAAGATACTCACTCTGGTTCTATTTAATAGTCATTTTCAACATATTTAACTTAAATTAAAAAATATTAATACTTATCATTTTTTTCAAAATTTTAATCAACTCTCAGCTTTATTTTCACTAAATATATATGCCTTAATAATATTTTTTACTAACATTTAATAAGAAATAAAAATAAAAAATATTTAAAAATCAATAACATTTAATGAATAAGTTAAAAAAATTATTCTCTTTTTATTTTATAAATAAGATCAAAAAAATAATTAATTAATTATTTTCTATTACATGTGATGGGCGTTCACGTTCAAATAAAAGTTTAGAACCCTTACAAATATTTTTAAGAATTGAAAGAACAAATTAATATCAATCAATATCAAATATAAAATTTATAATGCCATTTGTAAATGATAGATAATTAACTCATATCAAATTAGACACGTTATTTTCATTGCTGCAAAAATTGAATTAACATGTCTAATGTTATGAATTTTAAGAATCATGCGGATTTCCATCTTCCTTGTCTCTTCATCTTCATCTTCTCCCATAAAACTTTCACCATCATAAATGTTGATTATCCTTTATTTATCATTATCATTTGTGTAACTCTTGATATAAGTCCTTATCTATAAATAGGGCATGTCATTTGTATTATAAATATGGAAGAGAATACAAGAGAGGTTCTCCTCATTTCTATTACCTCTATTTTTTCTCCCCCTCCTTCTCATCTTCTCATTTCCATTCTCTCTATATTGGATTCATAAAATGAAAAGTAGACAAAAGATGATTGGCCAAATAGAAAAAGATAAAGGAAAAGCCGCAACATAATATAATTATATTAATTTTTAATAAGTGAAAATTATGGATATGCAGTCCAAATATTTGAAATGTTATGTGAAAACAAAGGTCTAATGATGATCAAGTATATTATTTTATGGTAGATTTTGTATATATTATTAATTTGATAGTGAAATTGAAATATAATACATTTATTGAATATTATTATACCATTTGACATGATAATCTTTGAAGGAGTTAAAATGCCAAAAGTATGAAAAATTGCCCAAAAAATTATTCAACATATATACACGTGTACATTCTTAAGCTTGTAGGAATTAAAATAGTTTAAATGTATGTATATATATTATCTTTGCAAATATGCATTGAAAATAGGTTCTGATAAAAATAATTTGAGAATAAAATTTTGATGTTTATTTTTCATTCAACTCATTGATTGAGTATTTAATATGTAATGGTTATAAAATTATTATACTAGGTTTATTTTGTCTGTGAGACTACTGAATTGATTAGTGTTGATTGGCCTGGAGTGCAACATATAGTTATCAATATTCATACATTTGGCTATTATTATATATAATACAATTTTGTTAGCAAATTTAAGTTCCTAGTGGATTAATAGATATTGAAAAAGAGATATGATAATATGAGAAAAAAATTATATCCTAAAAATATATTTTCAAGATATGACAATGCATATAGTATGATTTAACTATGAGTAAGATTTACTTAAAAAAATATTGACAACAGTCACATTTAAAAAATTAGTATATTATTTTGAAGTACAATAATTTAAAAGAGATGTTGTCATAAGGGGAAGTAAATACACTCCCTACTCTTTTTTTTTTAAACAAAGTTTTATCCCATTGGATTTTTCTAATAAGATTTTCAATGAGGCAACATTAAATATTTATAAATGAATGATGCACTCTTTTCTTTTATTAAGTTTTTGTCCCATAGGGTTTTTTAGTTGAGGTTTTTAATGAAGTATATTCTTATACAATGGACATTTAAGGAGAAGTGTTATGAATATTAAAAATTATGTGAACGTCTATCTCCCTTGTCTCTTTATCTTTATCTTCTCTCATAAAATTCTCACCATTATAAATGTTGATTATTTTTTTTTGCCATTATCATTTATGTGACCCTTAATATAAATCAATGCCTATTAACAAAACATGTTATTTATATTGTAAATATGAAAAAGAATATAAGATATGTTATAATCATTTCTATTGCCTCCTCATCTTTTCATTTTTATTCTCTCTATATTTTATTCATAACATCCAAAATTATATGTAGAAGTAAAAAAAATGATTTCCTTGGTGGATGGAAAACTTAATATTGATATTTTTTAAAAAAAAAAAAAACACATGGTGTAAAACTAATGCAAAACTTTGAAGCCGGCATATGGTTAAATTACTGAAGTGCACAATGGAGTCGGCTTTGCTCCTCCGCGTTTTCCCTCCTCCTTAGCTCCTCCGATGGGAATGGCATCCTTGTTCAATCTCGCAGCCTGTTGCGCATGTAGAGCCTCTCCTTTGTGTTCTTCCGTCCCCTACAGAGCATCTTATCATTCTCTTACCATGAGAGTGGTGCCTCCATTTCCTTCGTGCATCGCGGCATCCATACGAAGTTCTGTCGACGTCGCTTTTTCTTCCAGGTCTGTCACTGGCAATTTCTCCTGGGAAGATGTTTTCTCTATACCTCAGTCTGACTCTACCAGTGAAGATTCCTGTTCTTATCTCGAAGGATACTTTGAGAAAGTCAAGTTATGCAATCGTGGTTCTGTAAGTTCTCTGGAATTCTCCATCCTGCTATTTTCCCTTGCTTTTTGGGAGTTGGGTTTTTCACTTTTTAGTTCTGTATACGGTTATTGGACTCTCAGCGAATGGTACTCATGGTGTCTCCTATACATATTGAAACGGCTTGCAGGAAAAGCAATATGAGTTTGTCCCTTTTGTCATTGAGGACCAAATTGTTGGATTCATTCACAGTGGGTAAAATTTTTGAAACTTGCTCTGTATTAGATGCTCAGTTTTTGGTGTGATAAGTTGTTTCATGGCTGTCCTTTGGTTTGGTTATGGTGTTGGTCCTAGCTGAATCATGTCTGTGACGCTATTATTAACCGAAGTCAATTATGGTGGCGGATTTGTCCGCTATACTTTGATTTTGTTCAGATTTGCTGATCGATTGAGGGCCTCCAAGGATGTCTTTATTTTCCCTAAAGATAAGTTGTATGGTTCCCCCTTTGATGAGTATGTTTCATTAAATCCTATTCTGAAGACGCCTGAGCGGAGGACCAGTGCGGTTGGAAATGTAATTAAGTGTTTGGGAGAAGAATGGATTCCAGGTATACGGAATGAGGTACTGGTTATGAACTTATAATTTGTAAAAGTGTCCATGTTTTATCTTACTTATTTTATACGATTTTCTAATAACCATGCCTGTGCTTCTTGTCCATCTTTTATCAGTTATACCCTGTAACATCATCATTTGGTGCACCCGCTTTCTTTTCTTTAGAACGTGCTGCAGCTCCTTATTTTGGAATAAAGGTTCGGGCAAAATGCTCTGATACAGGATTACCTCATTTGCATCCTGAATTAGATTTTCTTTTATTAAGGTCATTTCCAATTTTCATAGCCATATTTGTTCATATGTCATTGTGAAACTTATCAGATTTGTCGTTTAAAATTGTTTTATTCAACTACTATCGGTACATATATCTATCGCTTAGCTCTTCTATTTACCAAATACGGCTGTACCCCAGCATGATTCATGTTTTAGTTGATTGCCCGTACCTCAGGATATCTTAAAATTACCCGCTAAAACAATATCAGCAGCAAGCATGTATTCGGATTTTAGATCAAGCAAACAGCCACTTGTGTTGTGTCCCCCCCCCCCCCCCCAAAAAAAAAAAAATAGTCACCCATGTAAGGATTTACCTCAATGCTTTTTCATGTGAGTTTAAATCATGTGTTTCTACTTGACAAAAAATTGAAGGTTCTATTTATTTATGCTAGTTAATTTCTTTATATAAGTAGATTCAATCAAATCAGTGCCCGGAAAATCATTGTCAATTTCAATAAAAAATCTTGAACTTGCATTCTTGTTTAGGAATTAAGCCGATTTTGCATCCTTAGTGCTTTGCACAATTTTGAAGATTAAATGATGATTTATTATTGACTAGTGTAATTGCATAACTTGTTTAAAAAGTGACTTCTATTTGATAGGCACTTCTATCACCCTAGCTTTATCTGATTATCACTTTTCCACTTTAATATTTTTCCTTCTCTTTTCAAAGGTTAGGCTTATGGAGTGCATATGAATGGCTATGTTGAGCAGCATGGACAGAAACATCTGTGGATAGGCAAGAGAAGTCGAGTCAAACCCACTTATCCTGGGATGCTAGATCACTTAGCTGCTGGAGGACTGGTGTGTATTACTTGCTAAGTAGGTCAATCAAAAATGAAAAAATCTGTGATCGGCAAACATCTGTTTGTATTCAAGGGAATTGGTGCTATATAAGGAAGTTCGTTTGTCTTTGCTATGGTTGGAAATGAAAAGAGTAATTTACAACAGCAAAAAGACCCAAAAAAAAAAAAGTCAGCTCTTACCATTAATTCTTTGTCAAGTGTTTCGTGAAGTCTCCTTTTTAGTTCATAAATCTTTAGGATTCTAATTAGCCATTAATATTTGATCACAGCCTCATGGGATTGATTGCCAAGAGAATCTTGCAAAGGAGTGTGAAGAGGAAGCAGGAATACCCAGATCCATCTCTAACGGGTAAGTTTATTACAGCCACATTACCCTCCCTCTGGCCTTATTTTCTTTTAAACAGTGAACTTTCTTCATCCTTTTTGTGCTTCCTGTTCTATGTTTAGCATATTTATGAGATCTGTACTTATATTTGGTAAGCTATAACAGCCATCAATCAAGAACTGAAAAGAAGTTCTTGTTGTCTAATCCTGTAGATTCCTTTTCTCACAGAGCCATACCAGTTGGAGCTGTTTCCTATATGGACATAGATGGATACAGATATAAGAGAGATGTTCTGTTCTGTTATGATTTGAAGCTTCCTGAAAGTTTTGAGCCAAAAAATGAAGGTATTTAATTTAACTGGTTGTGTTCTTCAATGATGCTTTGTGACTGTGTTATTGTACGCAAGAGGAGGCCCCATCTCCTGTATGGAATCTTTATGAGTTTTTACTGACTTTATATCATATCAGATGGAGAAGTGGATAGCTTTAAGCTGATACCTATAACGCAAATTGCAGAAGTCATACGCAAGACACAGTTCTTCAAGCCAAATTGCTCTCTCGTAATCATTGACTTCTTGTTTCGACATGGGTATTTCTTGCGCTTAACTTTATCTATATTCAATTTTTCCTATCTATTATCTATTAAATATTGTTAGATAAAAAAAAATGGATACATGCACCCAAATTTCAGTCCAGGCAGTAAATAATCAGACCCATTTCTTTGTGTCACTAGCGTTATTGCAGAGGATCCGAACTACGAAAGCTTTAAAATTTATATAAAGCGGTAATTTTAAAACACACACACACACACACACACACACGCAAGGTGGTATTGAGAGACATTTTATTCGTCCATTATCAAATACTTAATGCTAGTTCAGGAAACACTGGTTTGGATTTGTTTTTTTCTGCGATTCCTGAATTATACTTTATGATGTGTCAAGTAGATTATTAGTTGCGAATTATAGTCGTGTTATTTTTCCACAGATGTACAAAACTATGGTTTATTTTTGCAGGTACATCAATCCCGAACGTCTTGGATATCTTGATCTCCTAAGAAGCCTAAGAGCTGGAGATTGTTCATAACAATGAACCAAGACTGCTTATTCCTAGGGCTGCACAAAAGACTGGACAGCACTGGACTTCACCCTAACTCGAAGTCCGGTCTCCTTCATGAAAAAGACTGGGATAGGCAACCCGTAGTCCAGTCTTGTCCAGTGATAACCCGAAGATTAACAGGACCGGACTTGGTCCATAGGACTGGGAGACTGGTCCTGTCAGTCCAGTACTCACTTAGCTTTTTTTCCCTCTTTTTATTCTATGAGAGGCAATAATCCATTCCAACATAATAAACTCAATTAAGATAGTAAAAATACTTATAATAATAATAAATCCATAATAATTTCTAACAATAAGAAAAAAATATTTTTGTTATAGTCTAAATTATTTAAATTTATAAACTTTAATAAAAACAGTACTCAAAAAATTCAACAACACTATATTACAATAACAATTTAGAAACAAATTTAATAAATCTTTATGCAATCATCTCCTTAGCATCAATTACACTTTAAACATTTGTCAAAAATAAATTAATTATAATTATAATAAAAAAAATTAATAGGACTGGACTGGACCAAGTGGTCCGGATGCCTGGTCTCTTGTCCAGTCCAACCCGAAAAAATAGTCTGGTCTTTTTAGTCCTTTTGGTCCTGAAGGACCAGTGACTATACAGACCGAACAAGACTGAGACCATCTCGGGTTGGACTGGACCAGACAGGACTGGGAGACTTTTGCACAGCCCTGTTTATTCCCCATATTGTTCCTTTTGTATCAAGCATTTCTATGTTCAGTTCGTCAGAGCTGTAGATATTTGTGTGGAACGACCTCAAAAAGGTTGGTGACAGACTTACAAGAAAGGAGACCATGAAAGAAAGTTTCTATAATTTATTTAAATGATATTATACACAAAAACTTATGTCGTTTCGTACAATTTTATCGCTATCTTCCTCTTTCATGTCACTCTTCCATTCCTGGCAAGTGGCAAGCCCGCTTTCTTTCACACACGACACCCTCGCACACTTGCTTTTATTTTTCTCTCACTTGCATGCAAGCACTTCACTCTGCACACACTTCCGTGTTTCTCTCTCTCTCTCTTTCTCTCTCGGCACGCTCTACAACATCCTGAGCCACCCATTTATACTTGCATATGTCGATCATGTAATTTCCTCAAATCTTCACGGCCTTTCTTCTTTCACCGCCTAGGAGTAATTGCAATATTGTTTTTGGTTTCTGGCAAGGAAAAGTCAAGTCACATCTAGAATCTTGGAAAACAAGGCGTTGATGGTTAGAGTCATGTCCCTTGTGTTGTTGTTTATATATCTTAAGCGTCTTTTTGGTTCGAACGGGAAATAGTTTTTCCGAGTCAACAAGCTAAGATCTAGTTGTATTAGATGACGATTGTAGTGAGCCACTATTTCAATCTTGCCAATGTGTGTGGTTGATAGCTTAGCATTATTAGCAATAATCATCATTCTCTTTTCTTTATATATTCTGTAGTCTTTTGTAATTTCTTTGGGTATCTAGTAATGTGATTGGAGCAAAGCTAGAATCTTCTATCCAATCATTTTTATAATTAATTAATTTATCACATACTGTAATAAGGCTTATCTCTTTTGCTTTTGTGCAAGGTAAAAGAAAGATGAGTTGAGATTCAACGTAAAAATAAAAGATTAGGAGTGATGAGTTTATTTAACCAATGAAAGATAAATACGAGAGATGAGAGTAAAAGTGAGAACAATAAATGATAATAAAATATGAATTTGAATTTAGATCAAATATAAATTCATGGGCTTGTATATATATATATATATATAGAGAGAGAGAGAGAGAGGATTATGTTCAAATTCAAAAAGTTTTGGTAACTTACAAGTATTCTTCTATTAAAAAAGATTTTATTTAAAATACTATTGGGTATTAAATGTGAGCATATCTTTTAATAAAAATTTAAATATTGATTTGTTATATTGCAAGAAATTAGTCTATTATATTAAATTTAACTCTCATAAGTTTGAATTCAAATTTTGATGTATCAAATATAGTTTTTAGTGACTTGTAGTTAAATGGACTTTTGACGTTGGCAAACAGGCTATTATCACTCAACGTGCAGCCCGTTGAAACAGTTCATCCAGCTACAGCCCACATGGTCTATTTAGATTAGCAGTGTAAAAATGTCCTCGAAGTATACTTCCTCCATTTGTTGACAAAGACAATATTGCCTGCAACTGCAAATGGGCACTAAATTATAAATTAGGGGTGTTCAATCTTGTACATGTTTTGGTCAACCTGCTTCCATCCAGTTATATTAAGATGAGTCTTTCACAGCTCAAAAAGGAAAAAAAAAAAAAAGAAAAGAAAAGAAAAGGCAGGGCAAGAATTTACAACATAGGATGAAAAAAAGGTTTAGGACAAGATATAGGATTATCTTCGATACATCCCATCCTATCTCGTCCCAAATATTATATTTATATATATATATATATAAAATATATATTAAATATCTTAATTGTATTAATATAATTTGTTTTTATATTAATTATATTAGTAATAAGTTATATTAATTATAATTTTAATATTTGCAATTCCTATTCAAAACTAAAAGTCCTGGATGCCGATAATTTTAATGACACAAAACAAGTAGTACAAGGTAATTTCTCTCTTTATAATATATTAATTACATTGATATAATTTATTCTTATATCTATTTATTTAATAATTTTTATTTATATTATATTTTTTATTTTATCTTTTGAAAAGTCAATAGTTTTAAATATTTCAAGAACAATAACTCTTGTAGCTCGAAGATTAATTGTAATTATTGTCATAATGCATTATGTCTTATATATATTTAATTTTAAATTATTTACCTACAATTATGATCAATATGATTTAATAATTAATTTTAAATTATTTTGATTTATATACCTATATTTTTTGAGTGTAAACTTAACAAGTTATGTTATTTAATTTAATATTTTAATAAATATTGTTATTCATGATTTATGTTGCCCGATTTATCATGATGTCTCAATCTCATCCTGATTTTATCTCAATTCGTAATGACATGAGATGAGTCACATCACTAAAATTCGGTCTGACCTTTTTTCCGCACGAACACCCCTGCTGAAAATCCCGTTCTTCAGTTAACATGCAAATCAGCTATTTATATCACACTTCTTCAGATATACGCTTGGGCGGAGCATATAAGACAGAGCAACTGAACCTGCTCCGCTGCACGACACAAGCACCAATAACACAGCTCCCTGCATTGCGTAGTTATCAAGTTCACATGCGTGTAGCATCTCAACAAAACAATCACAAGGCCCTACAAATTCACCAATCCTTACGTAAGGATCAATCAGTATATTCCACAAAAATTCTCTCAAACATATCCTATGCCTAAATCTAGACAATTCACAAATACGAACCTCAGATTCAAACCCCAATTTCAAAATGTGCTCTCATGGTCGTTTCCAGTCCAGACGATTCGCAAATATCAAAATCAGATTCATGCCTAAGTCTTAACATGTCTTCATGTTACTTGTTTCCATTCAAACAACTAAAACATATACGCACAGGGCTTTGAAAAAAAATGGGTATGTAGTTTATCAGGATTCAGGAATGACGCTCTCTTCTTCCTTCATGGCATTGCATAACTCCATGAGCGTGCGCTTGGGAACGACTTTCGGCCTTCGGGTACAGGCTCTTATAAGATAAATTGTACAATAGACGAAGAAGAATTGTGAGTGGGTACTGGGAATGCAATGCAGCAATTGAGAATTTAATCAAAGGGCTGAATTGTGAGTGGCACAGTCCTGGGACCCAGTGACCAAACCAACGGCACGAATTATTTGTACAGGATAGGAGGATAACAACCTCCATCTCCGTGCATTAAACATAACGGATTCGGTATTGAATCCGTTCACAAATTATCAGATATGAAATTGGTTGATTGATTACTCAAGTGAAGTGCTGCAGCCAGTCGAAATGGCATCCTTGTGCAATTTAGCTACTACCACTTGCAGTTGCAGAATATCTTCGTCTTCCTCCGTCTTCCCCTCCAGAGCCTCTTATCCTTTACTCCTTAGAATGACATCTCCATTTCCTTCACGCCCCAATGCTTCCATTCGAAGTTCCATCAAGTTCGATATTTCTTCTGGGTCGATCACTGGCGATTTCTCATGGGACGATGTCTTTTCTATACCTCAATCAGATGCTGTCACGGAAAAAACCTCTTCTTATCTACAAGGCTACTTCGAGAAAGTCCAATTATGCAACCGTGGTTCCGTAAGTCATCAGGATTTCTTATCTCTGCTATTGTCCCTTGCCTTGTAGAAATTGGGTTCTTGGTTATGTTAGTTGCATATCAGTAGCTTGATATTAACGTTCTCTCTACTCGAATTTTACATTGATTGGACTCCAGGCGAATAATACTCATGGCGTTTGTTATAACACTGAATCGGTTTTTAGGAAAGGCAACATGAGTTCCTTCCATTTGTCATTGAGGACCAAATTGTTGGATTCATTCACAATGGGTAAAAAGTTTTCAGCCTCAATCTCTCTGAGATGCTCATTTGTTCTAAAAATTAGCTATTTCATGGATGTCATTGGTGTGGTCATGGTGTCGGTCCTAGCTGAATCATGTCTGTAACGCCACTGTTCACCAAAGTCAATTCTGATGGCGGATTTGTTATCTAAACTTCTTGTGCAGATTTGCTGATCAATTGAGGATCTTCAGGGATGTGTTCATTTTACCTAAAGATAAATTATACGGTTACCCCTTTGATGAGTATGTTTCATTAGATCCAACACTGAAGACGCCTGAGCAGAGGACCAGTGCGGTTGGGAATGTAATTAAATGTTTGGGAGAAGAATGGATTCCAGGCATAAGGAATGAGGTACTGGTTGTGATATGTAAAGATGTCCATGTTTTGTCATTTATATTCTCTACGATTTTTTTTTTTTTTTGACACCATCAACGATTTTCTGTTACCCATAACATAAGTGTGCTTCTTGTCCATATTTTGTCAGCTATATCCTGTAAGATCATCATTTGGTGCATCCACTTTCTTGTTGTTAGAACGTGCCGCAGCTCCATATTTTGGAACAAAGGTTCGAGCAAAATGCTCTCATACAGAATTCCTTCATTTACATCCTGATTTAGATTCTCTTTTATTATGCTCATTGCTAAATTTTGTAGCCATGGTCATATGTCATGCTGTTAGATCGGTCAAGGGACAAGTAGTTTTAAGTGGTTTTATTCTAATATTGAGACTAAACATGTTTACCGCACATTTAATCTATTTGCTCAATAATGCTGCATCCTGTCATCAGTATCAATGTTCTAGTCGATCCCCCATGAATCACCTGGTCCTAGCATACCTTGAAAATTACCTGCTAAACCTAAAATCATTGCTGTAGCCTTTTGGCAGCATTAGCAGAAAGGATATAGTAGGTTTCTAAATGAAATAAACTGTCACCCATGGGTGTATTACAGAGTAAAGAAAGAACTGTCTCCAGGGCTTTTATGTGTGGTTTAAACCGTGTGTTTCTGCATAACAAAGAAAATGAAGGTTCTGTTTATGCATGCTAATTAGTTAATTTATAGTGACTTCAAACAAACCAATGCCAGTAAAATAAATGTCAAATTCAATAAAAAGCCTAGATTTTTTTTCTTTTTGTTAGGAACTAAACCAAATTCACATTCAGTGTTATGCGTAATTTTCGAGATTAAATTATATATCTTCAAACAAGTCTAGTTTAACCATGGTATTGAAACCCAGACTGGACTGGCCGAGTCAACTCGAAAACTGGTGACCCCGTCCCTTGTCCGGTCTAAGTTTACTCCTAAACTGGTGAGGGAATGAACCGGTGTAACCCGGTCAATCCGAATTCAACTCGGTTAACCCGGTGGGTTGACTGGGTTAACCGGGTTTTTTTTTTTGAGGGATTTTTTTTTCATTTTTGATTTTTCAGAGTGCTGAGTTCAGAAATAAGATAACAAAAAAAAGTGAAACTAAAGTCAAAAAATAAAAAATTAGAGGTAGAGCACGTTAAGTCTAATTCAGATTTTCAGACAGCATTTAGTTCGGCCTTTCATCTATGTCTCTCCTCTCTCGCCCTAATCTAATCAGCGTCTCTTCTCTAGCTTAGTCTCCGTCTCTTCTCCAGGCTCCAACTCTATCTCCGTCTCTTTTCCAACTCTATCTCTGTCTCTGCTTTCTCCATCTCTTCTCCAACTTAGTCTCTGACTCTCCGTCTCTTTTTCAACTCAATCTTCGTCTCTTCTCCAGCTCTATCTCTATCTCTTCTCTAGACTTTTGAGATTGAAGAGTTGTAATTGTAATGATAGATATTTAAAGTATTGTATTTTATTACTGTTAGATTTTTGAGTGGTTGGATTTAGTTGATGTTTTTATAATTAATGTCTTTTTATTTAAATTGTATTATTTTAATCATGACCAGTTTGCCACCGGTTCAACCCTAATTGAACCACTAACCTGTGACCCAGTGTCATGACCGATCCGGTTTTACGTATCTTGAGTGTAACCTTTTCCTTTTTGAAGTTTAGGTATATGGAGTCCAAATGAATGGCTATGTTGAGCAGAATGGACAGAAACATCTGTGGGTAGGCAAGAGAAGTCGGGTGAAAACCACTTATCCTGGAATGCTAGATGAGCTTGCTGCTGGAGGACTGGTATGTAGTTACTCGCTAAGTAGGTCAATCAAAAATGAAATCATATGATGAGCAAATATCTGAACATCCCTATTCACGGGATTCGGTTCCATATTGGGAAGTTAGTTTGTCTTTACGATGGTCTGGAATGACGAGAGTTAATCATGCACAGCATCAAAATAAAAACAAAAAAAAAATATATATATATACATACATACATATACATATGGCTAATGCCATTAATTCATTATCAAGTGTTTCCTCATGTTCATATAAGTCAGGTTTCTAATTAGCCATTAATATATAATCACAGCCTCATGGGATTGATTGTCGGGAGAATCTTGTTAAAGAATGTGAAGAGGAAGCAGGAATACCCAGATCCATCTCCACTGCGTAAGTTTATAAAAGCCACATTACCCTCCGTCAGGGCCAGATTTTCTTCTAAAATGACGAGCTTTATGCATCCTTTTTGTGCCTTCTTTTCTATGTTCAGGATATACATCAGGTCCTTATATTTATCCTTTGGAACAACTATTAAGGAGTATGAAAAAATAAATAAATAAATAAAATAAAGGAACATTACTTTTTCTCTAATGTTTGTAGATTGCCTTTCTCACAGAGCCACATCAGTTGGAGCTGTTTCCTATATGGACATAGATGGATACAGATACAAGAGAGATGTTCTGTTTTGTTACGATTTGAATCTTCCTGCAAGTTTTGAACCAAAAAATAAAGGTATTTATTTAAGTAGTTTTGTTCTTCAATGATACTTTGTGGCCGTGTTATTATTCCCAACTGGTCTCGTGCCTTCAGAGAATCTTTGTTTGTTATGACTGATTTTATGATATCAGATGGAGAAGTGGACAGCTTCAAGCTGATTCCTGTCAAGCAAGCTGCAGAAGTTATACGTCAGACACAGTTCTTCAAGCCAAATTGTGCTCTTGTAATCATTGACTTCTTGTTTCGACATGGGTATTTATTTCGCTTAACTTTCTCTACAAACACGTTTTCCTATCTATTAATTTTCCCTGCATTGTAAAACCAAGATCTCTCTACAGCTTGCACTGTTATAGTACTACTTTTGTAACCTATTTTGATTATCGTGTTTTTTCTTTTTCCTTTTTTTATTTGCTGACTGTACTCTCTTACTTTTGGATTGTGCTTTTTACCTGGGAAATTCTAGTTTCATATAAATTGATACACATACATTAAATGATTAGATATTCAGGAAACTCAAGGTCGGGTTGTTTCTGTGATTCCCAATAGAAAATTATAAGTCTCAATTATACTGGTTCGGTTCTTTTTCAGGTACATCAGCCCCGAATCTCATGGATATCTCAATCTCCTACGAAGCTTAAGAGTTGGAGATTGTTCATGACAATGCAGCCAGATTACAAGATCAGCCGTCCTAGTACCACCTGTAACTAGCATTTTTACGTGCAGTCTCAGGTTTTATTAATAATAATTAATCCGCTTAGAGTCACTGCGGTTAAACTTTAAGATTGTACTGGTCAATAATGTCTTTTAAAACGTCAGCTTTATATCATTTAAAACCTTCCATATTACAATCATTTGCCAGAGCTGCACATGTAGGATGACACCATATTCTGCCTATTTGCTGACGTATGTAAAATCCGATGTTTGTTGAATATAACGGAAGAGTGAGGCTTCCTCCTAAATTATTACACTTAACTCCCCAGTAAAAGCTCTGTGGTTTCTACTTGGGGTTCTGCAGGAAAGTAATCATCGACTCTACCACTGTAAATGGGGAACAACACGCACCTGCTTATTTGCTGTCTTAATCTAAAATACCATGTTTGATGAATCGGTAGGTAAGTAAAACTTCCTTCTAAGCCACACTGAGCTCCCCAATTTCTGGTCCTAATGGTACAAAGACAGATTCCACTTCACGCTGCTCAACTTCCTCCAAGCTTGATGGTTTCCACTTGGGATTCTGCAGAAAAATAAGCATTGATCCCACCACTGTAAATAGAGAATAATACATACCAAATATTGAAAAATAATCATTTTCTGGGTTAAAGAGGAAAAATAAGAAAATGACGAGGACTGTTCGTACTAATCCAAATACTGGAACTAGTTGTAGATGAAACCAAGTGTAGTTACTAGTTACTTGGCATAAGTGGATTCTTCAACCCTGTACCACTACTACCAAGCTTCTGAAGAGCAAACTAAGCACATAGCATAGACATAAATTTACATTATTGAACCAATACCCCGAGTACCCCAGCAGGCAAAAAGCGTAATTTTTTGTAGCACAAACAATTGTATTTCAAATATAAACTCCACCTATATTTCAAAATACAGACATGGTTTTTCCATCAAATTTTTAAAAAAATAAAGGTATGAGAAAAAGAGAGAACCTGATCCTTGTCTACGAGTAAAGCTCTGACACCTTCCGCAAAGTCATGTCGCAGTGAAGATTTCAAGGCAATGCGATATTCAGTTTTCATTACACCAGATAGCTGAATTTGCCCAGATGCAGGTGTAATACACACAGTACACTAATAAGTTCGAAAACATGGAAGCAATAAAAGCTATCAAAATACAATGGATTCAGAAAATTACAGGCTTACCGTGGATAATTCATTGTTAGTTTTTCCCTTGGCAGAGACAACTCTAGAGAAGTAGTTTTGTGTCAAGCAAAGTGAAAAAGGAGCACCTTTTCCAAGACCTTCAAGGGCTTCATTAGCCCACTCCACAACTAGCAAGGTAAAATGCAAATAAATATAACAAAAAATTAATCAGGCAACCCACAACTCTGAACATCCGCAAGAAGGTCAATAAGCATACCAGTAGGATCAGTGCTAGATTGGTGTTTTTCCAGGTCTTTAATTGTCTCTACAACCGATTTATTTACTCCAAAAGATGAAACAATCTGAGGTAAAAGCGACTTCAAATGTGCTTCAGACTCAGGAGTAGACTCATATTTTGCCAGAAGAACTCTGATGTCCTGACGCGGATCATGTGAACTACATGATCAACGGATTTGGTAAGATCAGTATCCTTAAGATTGGTGATTTGCATGTATGAATTCTGACTAATCAATATTTCATAACGAGCCGACTGATTTAAGCATCATTTGTATTAGATATGGCTGTATATTCGAGTTACTTTACTTGCATAAAATGGTGCCAAATAATAGGCTGCGTGTGCATGCACCTTCCTATTTGTGTGGGCGCTTTTATTTGTCTAGCTTACAGTGGTTACACAATCATAGGCCACGTATGCGCACTGGGCGTGTGTGTGACTTCTAATCATTTTCAAACAAAAAAGAATAGTTATATATTTTTGAGCGCGTGCGCGCGAGGGGGTGAGCGTGCATGTGTATGCGTTCATATGGGTGTCACAGAGACATACAAGATCGTTTTTAAAAGGGCCTCCTTCAGCGGACCTAATTTTTTAGATGGTACATAATGAGTTCCAAGGCCAACATATATTGCATCTGAAGGAGTGGAAATCCTTTTTCCGGTTAACCCAAGAAAAGCACCTGCAATGCGTAAGATTTTCAAATTAACCTCTGGATTAGAAATCATTGGAAGAAGTGAAACAGCCTGTGAACTATATCTAACAAAACTGATCAGAAGTATAAATGAAAACTCTAAGTGAAGACTATGACCAGATGCTTCTAAATGTACATGTATTTTGAGGGCAAATGGTGACGGACAAGTAGTGCACAAGAGGAGAAACAGAAGATGATATTTTGACCACCGTTATGATCCTTATAAGTTCATCTAATAAAAGAAATTGAAAGAGGAATTCAGTATTCTAAAATCTAAAATACTATAAAGTAAAAAACATACCAACAGATCCTTCTCCTGGACTTTGTGCTGCTATATACGAAAAGCCTACATCTGGAAACAAACCAATTCCATTTTCTGGCATTGCAAGAACGGTCCTCTGAAAAGTGTCATAAGCAAGATCTGCAATGTTACAAGTTTAGGATATACCTATAATTAAACAAGCGACCATCATAAAGTGAACAAACCTCTGTTACAACACGATAGCGGCCATGACCAGATAGTCCAATTCCAAAACCCATTGTGATTCCATCCATGAGACTTATATATGGTTTCTTGTACTGAGAAATTTTGCATATCAAAGAATACTCAGCAGAGAAAATCTGAAATGTAGCAGAATAGGGCCATTATTTGTCATAGTACATCAACAAATGATGCAAAAAAACATGAGGCTAGATAGCAGATTTAACATATGGCCGACAACACATGATAAGAAATAAAATGTAACTTGATTGATACAAATAAATTTGTTTAGAATCATCCAAATTGCATTTGCAATTCTCGTTTTAACCACAAACACCATAAGCCAGCAAAAATTAGCACTCTTCCAAAGGACCATAGTTCTATTCTTTCCCCCAAAAACCATATAGCTAACAACCAATCTAGTTCAGATGTACAAACCAATACTCAGTAAAGAGGCCAAATATGCATATTTATACTCAAATCTTTTAAACTTGATGTCCAAAATATCAACTATCATACTTAGTACTTTAACAATTCTTTTATAATGTTAAAGATATTAGACATAGAGTTTAAGAACAAAACAGCTAAGGCTAGCTTTCACGAGTAAAACATGGTACTTTACTAAAGTAGCAATCTTCATACTTGTTATGAAGAACATGAATGGTCTACAACTAAAAAATGATATGTATTCATATTGCACGTCTTTAACAAATAGTAAAGGTTATGTGAATCTAAAGACATGACTATAAGGACACAATTGGACCTCAATCATATCTGATAGCTGGTTTTTTATTGTTATCTGCTTCACATCGCCACCTGCAGATAAACTAAGATCTCAGTTTTTAACTAGTGGAAGATAATTATTTGAAAGAACTTATGGCAATGAACTAGTCTAGCATCAGAAGAAGTTGTTTACTCTTGACAGAGACTCGCAAGTCACAACCAAAAAGCAATAATTCACATATGTGCACATTGGAATTTGAGAAGCGCATATTAATAGTATAACACAGTGGAGGAGAAACAAGTACTATAATGAAAACTTCTTGACTAAAGGGGTTCTTTTGTCATTTTGAATATCAGTAACAACCCCTTTGATATCTATTCCTGCGTTCACCATCGATGTGTCTCTCAAAATATTACCTAACACTCAGATTCAAATAGTCCCGAATCTAAACGAGATTCCCTGCAAAAAAAACCTATATACATTATGCATATGCTAGAAACTTGTTAACATTAAAAAAAATGGCTGACAAAGATAAAGGAATTATGTGATTCTTCATAACTGAATCATACCTGCAGAAAAGGCACGAGATGAGCTGCTATCAATTAAAACACATTTGACACTTGGATCCGATTCCCACTCGTCCAAATAACTTTTATACTTTATGTCCATATCTGCACCACATATTTCCAAGAAAAACCGCTTACCCACCAAGAAAAAGTCAACTTTAGTAGAATGGAAAGAAAGAATTCATAGACCTTTATTTTTCCCTGACATCTAAACAGTCAACAAATCTGCACTCAAAATCCCCAATCTCCAAGTGGTTATAACTAATATAAGTTTTACTTTCTACACTGCGCGAGCTCCCCATGACACTGTACTGTAATTGAATTAAAACAAAACCACCAGAAGCACACCTCCAGATACATTTCGCTACTAAACACAAAAAAGATACTCAAGAAACTGGAAGGCTTCTGGTTAGCGAAAGCACACAATGAAAAGTGCTAAAAAAAAAAAAAAACCTAGGTTCATGGCGTTGAGAGCTTTGGGGCGATTAAGGGTGATCACGGCGACGCCGTTGGGATGAACGTTGCCCTTGACGAACTCCTCGACAGTGGCCATCGGTGCAGTAGCTCTGGTAGACAGCAAAAGTTTGTTAGATTTGCAGAGAGAGAGGCTGAGGGAACTCAGAAAACGAGGAGCTCCACCTCCACCTACTAGCAATACGCTGAGCATGCTTTTTCTGTTGACCGTGTGGCAGGGTGATAACTGAAAAGTAAACTCGATGTTTTCAGTTTTCTGACCGTTCGGCCTTCATCGATTGCGTCTCCGTACAATTTTGTGCAACCTCCAAGTTGATCGTGGTAATAATAATTAATACTAAAATTTAAATTGCCAAAAATTACTAAAATTCAAAATTTATATTTAGATGAACTTTCCTTCAAGTGTTTTTTTTTTGGATTATTTTAAATTTTATCTCCAGATTAGTATAAAAAAGCATTTCTACTTGATTTAGTAATTTTTGTCATTTTATTCAAAGAGTGGGGTTGTACGTTTATTATTTTATTAAAAAATAAATTATGTTATCTCATACTAAGTGGTTTTTAACCGACATATTATACAATATAAAAAAAATAATTTTTAAAATTTATCACATTAAGAATGATTTCTTCAATATATTAATAGTCTTTTTCCAAAGCTTGTTTTTGACAAGAGTGATTTATGAACTTCATCTGTATCATACAATTTCTATAATAATTTAATAATCATTTCAATGAAAATAATAAATAATAATTGTTATGAATATAATTAAGGAATTATCATGAGGTGTATTAAATTAAAAATTATTAATAATAAATAAATAATTATTAGGCTTTATGAAAATTAATAATAAATGATTAAATTATATGAATAAAAAGTAAAAATTAATTCATCTCATAAATAGTGACTATATATTATATTTGTCACCAATTTATTGAAAGGAAGTCATAGCTTTTATTCAATAAGTTACTTTATTCTTTTTTTTTATCAAAATAAGTTACTTTAGTTTATCCAAGATAATATTTGAATCAATTTTCATTACTTTTACAATATTTGGCTCAAAATGTTACATCAGTTGGACCATGAAAAACCCATCCATTTGCAAATATACACACAAACTCTTTTGTATAATCCATTCTACTTTCTAAATATTACATTATACAATTAACATCCCAATAAAATTAAATTATAAAAATAAATTAACTTGACTAATTTCTTAAATATTTATAAATTAATTATCTAACTTTTATATTTAGGACCAAATGAAGGATTACTTATATGTAATAATTTTTTTATGTGTATTTAATCTTTTTATATGTAATAATTTTTTTTATTAATAAATTAACTATAAACACACACACATATTATATAATCTATATAATATGTGTGTGTGTGTTTGTTTGTTGTCTAACCCCCCCTAGACTAAAAAGGTATAGAAATCTGCCATGTTTATAATTATGTATGTTTTTTCACATATTAATTGTTATAAAAATGTATAATTTTTTTATATTGTTTATTTGATAAGCTTTTTCTATACTATTTATATTTGTTATGAGTAATATTATGGATATATAATTTCACTTTTGAAATTTTTGTATATTATTTATTTGATAAGGTTTTCCTATAATATTTATATCTGTCATGATTAATATTGTGGATATATAATTCCATGTATAATTTTATAGATATATTTGTTATGATTAATATTATATGCAATTTATTTTCTCAGATTTTTAATGTAATAAACTTACATAAAAAATTAATTAGTATAAATATTAAAAATAAAGAAATACATAGAAGATTGTATATTAATTTTAAAAATTGGACTCCATTTACATTTATGTTGATTATTCTATAAAAAAAATTAACTACATGTCTACATCTACAATTAAGAAAAACTTAAAATACAAAACATTAATGATTAAATATTAAGATTTTACTCAAAAAAATTAACTTTAATATAAAAGTTGAAAAAAAATATTAAGAAAATGTACTTTAATTAGATAGATAGTCATGCTTTAAGCATATCAAAAGGAAGAAAATACATTTCAAACTTTGATCACAATACTAACACCACCAACTAGAATAGAGAAATGAAATGAAAAGAATGAACTTTAAAATTTGAATAAGAAAGAAATGAGAGAGCATGGGGGATGAAGCAAACAGGAAATGAAGCAGGAATGAAAAGTGTATGAATAAAATATTAGAACACTAGGCAAATAGTGTAAATAACATTATATTCAATCTTGCTAATGTAAGAATGAAATAAGAAGAGCAAAAATTACCTCTGAAGAGATTGGAGAAGCTTTGCACTATTTGACCTCAATTTTGCTATCACATCTTCATGTTTTTAACCTCTTATATAACCAGTAAAATACACATGCATATGAATTTTTAAGTCCCACACGTGAAAAGCAAAAGCTGAGGGTTTTTGAATAATGAATTGACAAAGCAATCACAAGGGGTAAAGAAGGTAGGAACTAGGAATAAAATGTTGATAGCAATAATAAACTAAAATTGTTAGAGTAGTGAATGATTTCACTTTTAATAAAATAAAAAAAATAGCTTTTAACTCAAATCATTTTAGGTGAGAATGATTTTTTCATAATCTCAAACTCATTTTTCATATGAACGATTTTTTGTGTGATATTTTGGTAAATACTATTCAAATTGTACCATTTGGGTAATTTCTTTTACAGTATGTAATATTTTGGTAAAAAAGCTGCCAAATTATATCAAATGCTCCTATTGTTTCAAAAATAGCGCGGGACAGAACCAACTCTGTTGACAGTAACAAGAAATATCAAATATATATCAGCGTAAAAAAGTTAGTAGTTTGCTGAAATAAAAGCTCCTTGCTACTGTACAGTGACATGGTAAGGGAAAAAAATAATCATCAATTTCAGGAGAGAATAAATGTATGTATTGATAAAATTTGTAATTATCATGACTCAAAAAAGGCTAGAAGTGATAGTCACTTGCTAGGCATGTCTACGGAGGGACTCAATCTAGGCGTACCTACCCGTTGCGGATCATTACCTCTTAGCAGGCTGCTCAACTTGACATCTTCATCATCCAAGGAAAAGGATCATGGAGGCTTTCTGTGAATGTTATCATACAGTAATTGTTTTTATATAATCAAATTAATGGAAAAGGCTTATATGCTTTATCTTATATACTTAAAATACTCTTTTTCATTCAAATTATGGCATATCAATTTTCTTTTCCATAATTTAATTTGTACCTAGATATTGTTATTAATATTTTTAACTTTTTTCAATTTAAAAATCCACTTTTCTCTGATTTAATTAGATAAAAGTACATTAAGTATATAAGCTCAGACGCCTAACTTTTCTCTAAATTAAAAGGGCGAATTAACTGATGTACCAGTAAAATTAAGACATCATCAATATCAAGAATATTTATATACCATATATAATGCGACACATTTGACATCTCAGGTTGTACATGAAAATTCACTCTGGTTGCTTTTTTAAAGCTTCTATGAATTTTTTTTTCTTTATTTGGCGAGAGAAGAACCATAGCATATATAAGCTAGCTAGATAGCGATCATGTGTCTTCTTGCACAAGTTATTCATGGTATTCAAAAGATACATGGAAGAGAAGTGAGTTTGCTCTACTCAGAGTAAAGCAAAAAAAAAAAAAAAAGGCAAAGATATTATCAAGCCAACTTATATATTACAGAATAATACTGTCAAATCAAACTCTACCAATGGCAATAAACATAATGAGAAGGGGAGAAAGTTGAAGGCCTCTTGAAGTACCATGACAGGAAAGAACCCGGCCGATGATTTCAATAGCTAGAACATCACAATTGACCCGTTGGTTGAGGAATGTCTACTAGTCGTTCTATTGTCTGCAGTTGATCATAAGGAGCAATCTGCATTCACAGCAGAAATAATAAATGATAATTAGAGGGCACAGTTATATAACACTAAATAACTAAATCGATGACAAATTAGCAGTCCATTATGTGAAACTAGCTCATGAAGAAGCTGCATATAAAATGTGGAAGATAGTTTTGACATTTTAGGCACCCATCTATTTCTATTTAGGTAAACTTCTAGCATGGATCCCTGGCATAGCAATATCTAAAACATCATATCTAATTTAGAGCATCGGATAATGTGGCAAGTTGTATCAAATACGAGTGTCAAACATTTGTCAGATACGGCCAAAACTCCTTTCTTTCATGTTTCAGTGCTTTGGAGGTGCATTTCACTGCTTGCATGAAGCGGGACACTCAAACACAAACATGTGTCCAAATGAAAAGTTGTCAAATAAAATAAGTCCTAAACAACGACCCCGTTCAGAATAGACATTCTGTCTTTTAACCAGCCAGAATAGACATATTCAATGTGATGGGAAGATATTTGCATAGCTTAATTGTGAGACGACACAGAAACAGTATAAGTTACTACAAAACTAAGTCACTTCTGGCACAATCGCATTAACACGTCATATCATGTCACCTGGCTAAATCCATCAAGCCAAGTTATAGAAACAGCATAATTTCCCATGGGCCGGATTTCCCCTGGTTCAATATCTTCAGGAACATCAGCATACTGCAATTTCTGCTCCCCTGTCCATTCATCCTGTTCAAATAAGATCAGCCGCTGGTGAGATAGAGGCCATAACATGTAGTGCATGCAAAAAAATAAAAGACCACATGCTGTAAAAGATCATGAATGAACGATTTATGTCAAACACGGATGACCAATCAAGGGTACAACTTATTTTAAGTCTTTCTATATTTCTGATGAAGCAGACATGAAAAGGCACAAGTCAATTCGTCGTTAAAATTTTGTTTTATGACAGGTGACATGTAGTTCCACAATTACTCCCACAGGATTGCTCCATTGTCACCTATACTAAAGATATATGCCTTGGGAGGAGTAACACATAACTCACATTGCTGTAGTGGAAACAAATAAAAGTGCAACCACCAAAATGTCATGTACAGCCTAGATTAAATGACATATTTCATTTTGGATCTTTTAAAAAAATTGAAACTTTGCTCTTAAAATATCATCTTACCACACTCTGAGCAGAGCGATCATTCCGTCTGACTGTTGCTGGATGTAAAAAAAATTCTTCATCTGAATCTGGTACCTTCACTTTAATTGCCTTGATTGATTTATCATAGGTGACAGCTGTTGAAACTGAGTTGAAAGCAAAATGTTTTTCAATAAAAGAAAAGCTAAATTGAGTGAGTTAAATAAACTGCAATTTCGCATTCATATGACACAATAAGGTATTTCATGTTTAGGATGTTCTTCTAGTAGTCCTGAGCCATGTTAAGCTAAGAGCACCTTTCAGCAAACTTCAAATTTATGAACTTAAGAAAAGGTTTAAAAAATCTGAATTATTGAGTTCATTTACAAGTCAAGCTTCTATCTTTACATACTGAACTTCAGTATTTACAAGTGGATGGGACTCATAAGTAATTAATTAATTTATCTGGGACCTATATGTAATTCTCCCTTTTCAGAATTGTCATGTACACAAATAAATAGCGAAACAGTTTTCCACCTAATCACCAAAGATATCACAGTTACGTGCATACATGAAGAACGAGATAAAAAATTTTATCAGAAAAGAACTAGCTAATACTGATTTACTGGAATCTTCCAAAATATCAACAGCCACATACAGCATTACCTTGTTGGCGAATTTTGGCACACTGTTGCACAACACATACTCCTAGATTCTGGAAAGTTTTAGAAACTTCACCAAGAGGATCAGCAACAACTTCAGGCATCCCACTATCTCCAGAAGCAGATAGCTGTGATAATTAGGTCTGTAAATACTCAAAATAAACTCGACTCCTGTCTCATTTTCGTTTTGCATTTTTCATAATGTAAAGAACTTAAAGAATGACATAAACAAGAGAGTTTGTGAAAATGACTATACAATTCATGTTTAATGCAAACCAATGCTATGCAAGAATTCAAAAGTCTTCAACCAAAACTGCACGTACTTTTGGCAGTATAACAGTTTCAGATAAATGTCAAACCCAACCCCTGATTCTACCAAAAATATATTCAACAAATATAATATTTTTTTTTCTTTAAGACGTGCCAAAAAAATAAAGAAAGAAATAGGTATTAATTGGGCTGAGGTAACGTGATGGGTTAATTTACACAATATAAAAAGTATAAGCAGAGCACAACAATTTCAAAACTAAAAGCCAGGCATGAGACATACAGTTGGCCTAATGGGAAGATCAAATAGATGAGGTATTCCAAACTGCTGGACGACCTGCAAGTATGACCAAAGCATGGTCACTAGTAATACACTGGAACTTGTCTTGCATTAAATAGCATAAACAGGTGTATGTTTTCCCCCATAAAGTTTAATGAAGAATATCCATGCCTGAGAACCTGAACCTCTACCAAACGGGTAATATCGTTTTCCATCAGCATCAAAGTGACACATGTTCTCAACAACAGCAACGCATGGCACCTTATGCATAAACAAATAAGAAACATACGTCAAATATCAATAGTGGACAGTAAGTCAAATATAAATTATTCTAAAGATATGATTAGAAAGTAAATTGATATATGCCCATTTTTGGAAAATTTGGAAAAAAGTTGAAGGATTAAAATATATATATATATATATATATACACAAAAGTTACAAGACTATGAGATTTAAAAAAAAAAAAGATAAGATAAGCCATTGTAATGTTAATGTCATTCAATTGCACAATAGCCACCTTAAGTTTTGAAAACATGCGAACTCCTTTTGCAACATCAATGAATGCTAGCTTTTGAGGAGTAGTGACAATTACAGCAGCAGTTAATGGAACTACCTGAAGAAATAATGGACCCATTTCAAATTCATGAGAATATATCAGAGAAAAACTTTGGGGATATAGGATTCATGGGCAGCCAGAATGTATTTCACAACAACAAAATAAAAGAATGAGAAGTGTGAAAAATGGATATTATTCTAATCCATAAAACCAAGGGAGAAGGACAAAAGCAGGACCTGGCATAAAGTCAGTTGAATATCTCCAGTTCCAGGAGGCATGTCAATAACAAGGTAATCCAGCTCGCCCCTAAATTGAACAAGTCAAGGCTACATATCAAGGAGAACCAATAAAATTATGAATCTAATTTCAGAAGAGGAGAATAAATGAAGGTTATCTATTAAGAAAAGGCCATTTAATCTTCAATCTAAATTCTGGAGTGGGTCAAAAGTCAACTTGAAATATACAGACATGTCTTTTATAAGTCAACACAACATTTTATATAATGGCAAGGACCGTTTAACTCTAATAGTATCCTATTTTCCCCTTTTAAATCCTAAATAAATTATATTCTCATAGCAGCATACCACTCAGTAGTAGTCAAAAGTTGGTTAATAACTCCTGAAACCATTGGACCACGCATTATTGCACGTCCTTGTCCAGCAAAGCCAAAAGAGACCAACTTGACTCCCAAGTAATCAGTTGGAATTATGGTCCTCTTTTCTGGGTTCTACAGCAACACTTGAAGCAATTAGTTTGCAGCACTTCACTCAACTACAAGTAAAAAATAATAATAATAATAATTCATTTTTTCATATATTACCATTTCTAACAGTCGATTTTCAGGAGAGACCATTGTTGGTAAACTTGGACCATAAACGTCAGCATCAAATATACCAACTCTAGCTCCCATACTAGCCAGAGTATATGCTAGATTTACAGCAACAGTTGATTTTCCCACACCACCCTGCAAGTTTTGGTACATAGAATTCATGATGAGAAATTCAATTTGGGACCATAAATTGACTCACATTTCTAACAAGAAGTCATCAAGATTAAAATTCCAGTTGAAACAGAATAGCCGGTATTCTGGTATCAGAACCATCACATTTAAAAGAAAATTAAAATGTGAACGGGTGTTTTTTTCCTGATGGTACAGAAGAGCTTTGAATAGTTTGTATCCCTTTGAGGAATAAAAACAATTCTAAAAGCAATATTTCCCAGCTTTACAAGAGGAAAAATACACAAGATCTTGAAAAGCAGTTTAAAACAATCAGATCTGCAAATCATGAAAGAAAATGGTCAACCTTACAACTAGAGACAGCCACAATATTTGAAATTGTCTGTAGACCAGCTGGAAGTTGCCCTGCAAATATAGGTTTGGCTGGTTGTGCTGACATTGTGACTTTAACATTTTTTACCCACGGGAGCATTGCCACCACCTCATTTGCCTTCTGCTCAAACTGTCATTCATGTATATTCATTTACAGTCTCTTCATCACATCAGACCTCAAACATCATGCTCAAAGAAGGGGAAATGGGATTTGGAAATGCTGCTAAGATTTCATAAAATACGTTGGTGAAAATGATAGCAGTGCTACGTGAATCAAAATAAATAATAATCTATGATATGATATATCAAAATGGAAGGGATATTTTATTTTATTGTCATTGCTATGAAATGAATCTAACTAAGTCTACCACTCTAACCTACATTAGCTGTTGCTCAAACAATAGTAATTTTGTGATTTACCATGTCCTTGATTGGACATGCTGGTGTAGTGAGCTCTAGCCGAAATGACACCTGAGATTCAAAGTAAGAAAAAAAAAAAACTTTTGGTAAGAACAGTGTTAATTACATGGGCATTGCAGAAAATTTCAGGTCCATGCTTTTAAGACCTCTCCTAGAGTTTCTTCAATCTGAAGATCTTTCACAAATCCACAAGTTACAATATCTGTTCCAAAGTCAGGATCAATGATCTCAGACAGGGCTTTCAAAACATCATCCTCAGCTGTTCCAGTTGATACTGCTGAAGTTCCAGCTACATATTTTACAAGAAAACCATATGAACTTGAGGTGGCAAGAATATCAACCACTGCAAACTCTAGGAAAAACTATAACTTTTTCAAATGATAAATTATGAGTATCAGTTGTCTAGTTGGCTAAAACAACTAGTTAGGGCATCTTTCTTTTTCAAAACAAGCTGTTCTGCAGGGGGGAAATCTTTGACATTGTCCAATACATGAAGATGTATTATCATCCTTAAACAAAACCTTGAGTCGTTAGGCTAAACCTTGAATCTGTATTCCATACAACTGCCTCGCCAGACTGGCATATAACTTTCATCCTAAACAATCTCAAAAAATGTCCATGTAATGTAGAATGTTACTTGTCTTAAACCATATTAGCATTCAAAAAAAGGCTTTTGTGCTCAAACAAGAGTCTGGAATAGCAAATAATTCTCCTGACAGCAGAGAATGAGGTCACTAAACTCACTCTGAAGCCTGATCGGACCCCAAACTCTTATGTGATTAGCTGGATGCAAATATCCATTTGGGCAACATTAACAACTTGCAAATATGGTGATCATGATGGTTTTGAAAAAAATCTTTCCTGCCAAGGTGACAGATAGATGAAAAGTGAGAATATTTCGAGACGCAGATAGTTAAGGCAATTTTGGCAGCTGTCCCCTGTTGAAAGCAATACATTTCAAAGAGGCCCAAGCACACCATTGGGCGTACTAGACTAAAAGAATTGAAAAGATGAAATCTGTAACTTCAAACTTTTAATAGGCACTGAAAGAAGAACCCACAATTCCAAGTAGAAAATGTTATCATTTCAACGCAAACTCCAGAAGTGCCAAAATCTTCCCGTCGAGAAACTCTTTTAAAATGATAAAAAATCTCTCAGGTGCCGGGTATGCTCTAGAAAATGCAAAGTGAATTACCAATTACCATTGAAGGCGGAATCAATTATTTAGATTTTTATAAAGTATGATAACAAACTTTTTTATTTCCTCATCAGTTTCCCCACCAGCACTTCACTCTTAAAAAGGCAACCTGCCCATTGGACCCGAATCTGAAGATTTGGGAACAATAAACAAACCTAAGATTTGATCGAGCAGTATCGACATAAATATATACAAACTCAGGAAAACACAAGAAACAACACTGTATTTCTTTAGAGCACCTTTGCAATTAAGATATTGAATAGCTTTAGGCATTAGCAATATGTTATGCTCCAAAAGCCCTTATGCGTATTGCCAATAAGCTTCGCCGACAATCAAAGAGTGAGGTTATAGTTTCAGGTAAGGCCATAGTTGTTACTGCCTCGACTACTGGTAAAACTACCTTTTGCCTTTCACCGAAAAAGTGATAGGCAAATTACCTTCAACAGAAGCAGCTCTAGCTTCACTACAGCTCAAAATGACCCTTTTATAAGACGTCCATATAGAATTTGGCCCCCTTCTAAGCTGAAAGAACGAATTGATGGCAAATAAAGAAGACTTCACCGTAAGCAGTCCTGCAAGAAGAATCCAAATCCCAGAAAGATATGTTTGTGAGATAAAGATTGGACAGTAGGAATCTGAAGCAGTTCAAGTAGAATTCACCTCTTAGGTGTGCATTTGAGCTTTGCAAGGAAAGGTGCGGTGAGGACGGAGCATGGAGCAGTTGCATTATCGTGAGAGAAAAGAGGAAGACTAGAAGGAAACCAGAGGTGAACGACAGTTTGCGAACCTCATCTTTCATTTGTTATTATTATTTAAAAATTTAATTCATTTGCGGGGCCAGAATAACGGGAGCACATTCGGTGCTTATCACCGATCACCCCTAATCAATCTGAATTTAATCCAGACAGATTAAATTATTTTTTCATTTTTTATTTTTTAAAATAAAATTTTGTAAAATTTTAAATGAATATATTTATTATTAACATATAACATTCATATTTAATTAAATGAGTCTAAATTTAATATAACTTTTTTATAAATTAATCATACAGATTTAGTTTATACTGTTCAGATTTAAAATTTTTAACTTATTATAATGTCAGATTCAAAACAATTCAAAATAAATTTGTATCATTAATTTATAAAAATTATAAAAAAATTAATATTAAATTTTGATTGATCTAATTAAATATAGATGGTCATGTTAATAATAATATATTTATTTAAAATTTTATAAATTTTTATTTAAAAAAAAGTAGTTTAATCTGGACCATTCAGATTGGTTGGGGGTGATCCCTGAATGTGCTCCCGAGAATAACCAATTTAAAACCATGACTTTTGACTTTTGGGATGTATTTTTGCACTTTTAAAATGTAAGATGTTGTTTGAAAAATTTATGATTGGGCAAAATGACTTTTTAAATGTGCAATGAGAAAGTGATTAGAAGTAGATTTGAGCACTTAACTTTTTGGAGCTTTTTAAATTGATTTTTTGATGTTGAGTTTTTGAATTTACTATACTGCCCTTATTCCCATATAATACTTATTGCATGTTCTGTTTTATTAGTATTTGAATTTAGTGCAATAGCCACAAGGCCAAATAAATTATATGAGGAGGCAATTTTATTAACCTTTTGTAGATGAAACAGAGAGAGAATAATGTTTTAATTCTATTTATAAAGTATGTCATTTAATATTAATGTCTGTTGAATTATTTATTACATAAAATTTTTTATGTTAAACTTTATATTTTTTATTTTTATTATTTAACATATTAAATTTTATGTTATTTTAAATTTTTTCACATTTTTAAACATTTTTAATATATTATATTTATATAATAAAAATTATAAATTATCATAAATTAATATTCTTTTTTATCATTATATATCTAAAAGTACATTTCAAAAGCATAAATCATCATTAATTCAAATAACTTGCAGTTTATTAAACTAACTTTTAAAAAAATATATCCAAACATAAATTTTGTTACAACAACTGACTGTTACTAAACTAACTTTCACCAAATGTACTTTTACCAAATAAACTTTTAATAAATTGAAAACCAAACACATACTTATTTTAAGTAAATAGAAATTTTTGTTCATGAACAACACTGCATTTAAAAGATATATGTATAAGAAAAGAGGCCCCACTCCCTACGTAAATTTTTTTTGAATACAAGGCCACGGCAAACTATGCAGAAACACTAAATCCTAGTCATATCTAAAGTTAGAAGGCTTTTATAGTCATTCAATAGTTCATTTAAAATCATAACATTAAAGTTCTCCAAATAAGATCTACAGGCCAAGAAATAAATGCAACTATTTTTTTCTCTATACATGTGATCAAATGTGACCATCCAATCTCTCATAATGAGGTCTCTGATATTTTAGATTGTGTTGAATAAAGGATGACCTCCAGAATAGCTATAATTAATGAGGGACAGCACCTCCATTAAGTCTGAGTAGACATTAACATTGCTAAATTTCTCATTCTAGCAAAGGTTGAGGTCTTTGTAGATTCCCATAAGCTTTGCAACTGTGTTAGGATGATAACCGAGAAATTTATATAAGCCTTTAATCCAATTACCCTTATTATCTCTAATAATACCTCCACAAGTGGCAGTGCCATGTATGTTAACTGAGCCATCAGTGTCGAGTCTAACCGTCTAAGTTCAGGGGGTTTTATTTGACTTCATGTCTAAAGTCTCCTTTGTTCAAGTGGTTTAATTTGGAGAGAAGCTTTAGGTCATTATTGATTTATTGAGTGCTAGAAAAAGCCATTTCAATTTCTTGAATCTCATCTTCAAAGAAGAGTTTTTTGCATCTAGCTTTTTAAATGTTCCAGAAAGCTTAGGCAAAAAGTCTTTGCTAGAGTGTTCTTCTAGTGTTTCGACTATCAACTTTGTTTCGTGCATTCCATATTATTCAATCCTGCAAACCAAGAGAGAAGAAGGTGTAAAGTTTTGTAAGATTAACCAATTTATTCCATACCTTTTTGGCTTCTTCACAATCTCTCAAAATATGAATGGAAGAGTCAGAATAGTTACAACCAAAAGAGCGGGAACATTGTTGCAGAGGATTCCCATTAGTCTACATATAGTCATTTTGCAGTCAATTCCAGGAAGCCTTCTAAAGGAAGTATCTAATTTTTTTATATGTGGGCCAGTTCCAAATTTTTGACCAAATATTAGGATGATTTTGGTCCTTATAAGTCTCCATCGCTCTATAAGCAGATTTGATAGAAAGGTTGCCATCAAAGGAAGTTCTCCAAAAAAGAACATCATCTTCATTATGTTGATTAAGAGGTTGAACAAGCAAGATCTATTTAATCACATCAAGATGAAGATACCAACTTAAAATATTAACATTCCATCCTCATATATCGTCGCTAAAGTCAGAAACTCTAGCATGAAGAATGGAATCAGCATTATAAAAGGCATAATTAATTAAAGGATCAGGAAACAGAGACCATTAGTCATACTAAAATGATATTTGGTCTCCTTTATCAACTTTCCAACCAACATGAATCACAAATTTATCCCAAACTATACAAATGTTATTCCAAGTATAAGAGTAAGAGTTAGGTTTAACAATTATCGGGATTATGGGTTTGCTGCATTTATATTTATCACGAAGAACCCGCACTCAGAGATAATTAGGTCAAGTGATGAAGCCCCAACAAAGCTTTATGACAAAAGCAAAATTTTGATTTTTTAGCTTTTTAAGGTTAAGACTTTTGTCTTTTTTCTCAGTGGTGATGCAGTCCTGTGAACACCGTATTTTGTCCAAACATTTTTTAAATTTAACAAAAACAAAAATAAGTAACCAAAAAAAATATAAAAATATAAAAATAAAATTTAATCCTTTTAGGATTATATTTTCAAAACAAAAAATTTAATTTAATTGATAGGGCTTAATTTTATCTTTTTTTATTAGGATTTTATTTCTTTTAGTTCATTAAAATAATCAAAAAAATCTTGTTTAAATTTTTAAAATCTCTCCCAAATTATCTCAATCATCCAAAATATTGAAAGTTAACTTTTGAGAGCTAACTTTTCTCTCTTTAAATCTTAATTTTCATTATATATATACATCTATGTGTGTGTGTGTTTTAAAAAAAAATAAAAAAAGGCTTATCACAAGCCTTATGCGGTTCACATACACTCACTTTCAACACAAAAAAAAGGACAATCGCACGACCACATAGCTAAAAAGGAAATGCAGAAGAACACCAAAGGCAAACTTAGGAAAGATCAGACGTGAAAAATGCTTAGTCATGCAGAGAAAAGTGGAGAAACACAGCACACACACACGTAAAGAAAAGGAGTCAGAGACGTATGCAGAAAAAGAAACACATGCATGTATAAAGAAGCAAAGAAAAGCAAATGCTGGACATGCACGCGAGTGAAAACAGAAACTGGGGTTCAGAAACAGAGAAAAGGAGAAAGAAATAGAGAAGACGTGCACGGCAAGAGGAGGAGCCTGAGCTTCAACAATAAAGGGATCTTTCACACAAAGTCTGGAGGAGATACGAAGAAGAAACACTAGAGATGAGAAAAGTTGGAGAGGAGATAGAAAAATGAAAAGAAAACAGAGGCAAGAGAGAAGGAGAAAAGAGCACGAGAAGCTTGGATAGAGACCGAGAGAAGGCACCGAGAGACGAGTTTTTCTAAAAAAAGAAGGAGGGAGAAACAGATACGGAGAGACAGAGAGAAGAGAATGTCTGGAAAGGAAGGAACACCAAAGACAGAAAAATGAAGAAAAAAATAGAGCGTAAATAGAGTTCTGAACGGAGTATGAAAATGGAAAGGAAACAGACGAGAAACAGAGCACGAGACTAAGAGAGGAAGGCTTGAACAGAAACTGGCAAAAAAAAAACAAAGCAGCAAGAGACAAAAAAGAAGGAAAATAGACACAGCATGAAGCAGAGAGAGACTGAGAGTGAAAGAGAAGGATCAGCTGGGAACAAGATCCAACAGGAGAAAGAGACTGAGAATGAAAGGAATTGACAGTATGCACACAAGCAAGCTGAATGAGAGAGAGAGCACAGAGAAAGGAAAAGAAACGAGAGAGAGAGAGAGAGAGATCAAAAGCTGGAGGAGAATACAAAGGAAAAACAGAGACTGAAAACTGGAACCAAGAGAGTAAGAAAAAAAACGCATAAATAATAGCATGCATGCACACGTGGGTTTTTGGACTGAACAAGATCATCATTTTCTTCTTCCCTCAATCACACAAGTTCTGGATGTTTTACAAAAAAAAAACAACCAGAAACATGTTCAAAGCTTGAGGTTGAGGCGATGGAAGTATTGCCTTGAGAGGAAGAAGAATGCAAACACAAGCTATTCAGGTAATATTTAAATCATATCATCTCCCTTAATATGGATTCATTGATGAACATATATATATATATATATATTGATAGATATTATGAGTATGGATTGATCCACATATATGTTTAGGCATTAAAAAATTTTAAGAATTAAATATTTTTATGTTGAATTTAAAACATACTTGAGAGGTGTCTAACGAAAAAAAAGAGAAAGAGAGAGAGGGAGAGCTTGTGAAAATATTATTGATAATTTGTAAGGTTGATTGTGGTTTGGAGCCTTGTCTTTCGTGGTTATGATCTTGCTAAAAGTTTATGCCAAATATAGATTTTTTAGAATATATCTCCAAGTCAAAAGAATAGTGAACTGTCAAAATAGTTTATTTCTCTATTTTTTCCATTGCCTTTATTGCATGAATTGTTTAGCCAACCATAATATTATGCACCGACTACAAATGTAAATATTTCAATTATCTATTTAT